ACGTCTTCTCACTGTCTCTCGCACCAGCGACACATGGCTCGTAGAATAGAAGATGAAGACCCTTCATTGACCTCCTCGGAACGATGCTTTCTCTCATTGATGATCATGTCTGATCCGAACTGGCCGCAACAAGAAGGTCATGGGAATGATGAAAAGTGAAACTGGTGGAAAGATCATTGAAGACTTTGATGGATTGAGAGAAAAACTGTACAGCTACAAGATTCTTGAGGGAGAAGAAGAGAAGAAGTGTAAAGGGATTAAGAAGACTGTAATAAAGAAGAATACAACTCACGACGACTACAGGAAGTGCTTAATCAGCGAAATATGCAAATGAGGAAAATGAATGTAATCAGATCACATAAGCATGTGGTCTTGACTGAGGCCATCAATAAGATAGCTTTGAGTGCTAATGATGATAAGAGCATAATAAGAAGATGACGTATCAACTTTTTTTCATGGTCACTATGAATCAAATCAATAAAAAAAATATGAATCCTGATAATATTCCGTTCAAAGCATTTGTAGTCGGACCTACAAATTCAGCAAAGACAAGATAACTGTTCAGTCTCCTTGAGCACCACCTTCCGAGTAAGGTTTGATTACATCGTTCTCCTCTGTCCAACATTCATCCACAACAAGACATATGACGGTTTTGGAGAAAATGATAAGGACACTTAATTATTTTGACGCGACTCCAAAACCAGATTGATGATTGGCTCAAGATTATTAGTAATGTGTACGAGGGAACTAATACACTGATCATTCTCGATGACTGCGCTGCTTCGAGAGATGTGAAGCAGAGAACGAATGAACTCGTGGATTTAGCATTCCGCGCAAGACATAAGGGGATCAGCGTTTGGGTCTTCACACAGCAGATAACAAGCATCGCGAAGGCATTCAGAGAGAACATTGCTGCATTAGTTCTCTTTTAGACACCATCTGCCAAGGATATGAAGATCATTTTCCAGGATTATGCAGGTGATTTGACAAATGATAAAAAGAAAGAATTGACAGCCAGACTAGAGAGAGTGAAATACATCTCATATTCTAACTTCGCCATGCCTTCAGTATAAATTTTGAAATTTAACATATAAATTGGATATGTATAAAAAAGAAGAAATCATAGATGTTAAGAGTATTCTTAAAGCTGAACCCTCCGGTGATTCTGATCATCGAGAGCAGCTCGCTGTTCTCGATATATGCAAGTGGTAAAGTGAAGGAAATGACTGGTGTATCTCTCACCAAGGATCAAGTCGAGAAGCTTTCTGAACAAGATGTTGAGAAGTACTTCAAGAGATATGAAGCTTCATTGTCTTCAAAGACTTGCGATGCAATGGTTAATGCATTTCTTCAGCTCTCATGTAAAGCATTTGCCCATTTTCTCCCTGTCGATGAAGGAACTTCTGAAGGACTTGAACGATAACTTTAAAGGAAAAAGAGAACTCGGAATGATTGCTGGTGTATTGAGTCTAAAGTATGGAAAGTAAATAGGAATCGCAAGTGCTGCTCCTCTCACTACCAAAAATTTTGAAATACCCTTCATATCGCCATCGATCAATGATAAGGAAATAGATAGTATTTGTGAAGAAACTGATCAAATACTTGTGTAAGCACTTGAATAAGAACTTGAATAGGCACTTGTGTAAGTACTTACGCAGTACTTGATAAAAACTGGAAAATTATGCATCAACAAATAAAATGGATGGTAAAGAACCTAAGACTGAAGATGCAACAGCTCAACGGGTGACTTTAACACAGATTCCTGGAAGAGTAAAACGAATGGATTTTTTTGTTTGCCAAAAAAAATGTCTGATAATAAGCTTGTTAAAACATTGACCGATTCAGTTACATTGACTAGATTGGCTGCTGGAATTGGATGGGTTGCAAAGAAAGTCATCAAGGAACCGATGACTTCTGATCCCAGTTCAAATCTCATGAACTATGTTAAGTTCACCTTCGTGATCGCTGCATCAATTGCAACATACCAAAAGATATCTTGAATATCAAAAGATTTCACCATCTTAAAAATGTTCAGCCGATTTACAATGAATGCTATTAAGTTAATTAAGCAGCAGTCTGACAATCATTGTGACTGCCTTAATGTTCTATATCAACGAGATAGATGAAGAACTTCGTGAAAAGTTTCATGATGAATACTTGTTGTCGATTTTCGAAAATAATGTTGAAGATAGCAGTAAGCATAGCAATAATGATTGGAGGAGCGCTCATCGATTCAACCGCATCTGTTGGTGGAAGCTAACTCGCAAAGTATTTGAGTGGAGACCAGAATAATGTTGAAGAGGAGAAGAAGAGGCTTAATCTGGCTTTGGAGAAGTACTTTAGGTGAGCGCCTCTTTACTTTCTAATGCAGTTAGGAGATGAACATAGATCGACAGAATGGGTAAAGAGGCTTGCAGAAGTTGTTTTAGCTTTGAATAGTGAAGTGACCAGGTTGACAGGAGAGAAACCTATTGACGCAATCAAAGACAAGTCAGTTGATGCGAAGAGTTCAACCACTTATTCAAGACCTGTTAGCCTGGAGGAAAAGAGACTGAATTATTCAAAGAATGTGAGACATCTCTATGCCGCTGGTGAGCTGGAAGGTGGTCAAACAAGAGCATTACATCCAATCTGGTCTCTGAAGGTCTTTGGTATCGAGAGATAAATTGTGAATTGGAATGAGCCTCTTCTCTGCTATCTGAAAGATGGTCCACAGCGATGTTTCGTCAGAGAAGAGCTTCAGATTGTTCCTCCTGGAACTTAGTTGCCTCCTGAAGGAATTCGTTGATTTGAAAAAAACTATTAAAAATATGAATTTATCAATAGACCCAAGTAATCCTGGCGAATTAATTCAAGAAACTGATAAAGATATGAACAAAAGATCGTCAATCTTGCCAATCCAACTGACCACCAAGACGCATGGACGAAGAAGTATGTTGATCGGAAAAAGAAGACAATCGATTTATTCTCTTTTTTGTTAAAATATTCCCCTAGAAGTCTCTTTATTTAGATATTTATCATGGAAAAAGCAGCGTGCTGGTATCACACAGGCCACAACTCAAACAGTGAAGTACTTCGTAAAAATAAATTTTGTGTCACTGCTTTCGATCAATCAGGATTGACAACAACGCAACACAAAAAAATAAAATTTCATTCAAACCGAGAATACCCACTTTGAAAAACTATGGAAGAAACTTTTTCTCTTTCAGTGTAGACAATTTCTTCGATCACCCTTTCAAATTTACTACAATTAAAAGAACAAACCCAGATATCTTGAACGTGTTTAGTGTTATCAAGATAAATAAAAGCCTGCGTGGAACATCAATATACTCAAGAAACTGTTTGATTGAAAGTGGAAGCAAAAAAGGCTTTCTTCTTTCTCTTGAAAAAGATGCAGGTGTAATCATTGAAAGAGTAAGACCAAAAACAATTGGGGGTGTTCCATTCATTATTGTTGGCGAAAACACAAAACCATTCCATGTTGGAGCAGGATTACAAAGTAAATTAATCGATGAAGCACCTTCAGCAAGATTCAAGACAAAAACAAACCCGACAGAAAAAGGAAAGTGGAAAATTGTCAGCTGCCATTGGAATGGAATATTGGGAGATTCTGCAGTAAATACTTCTTCTTTCTGGTGTGATGGAAAAAAAGACTTGTCAATTTTAATGCAAGGAATAGATACAGATTAACATTATGTATAGGGAAATTTTGAAAAATAAGATAGAGATGATTTTCATGAAGGTCTAAACTTAGACTTTCATACTCTTCTTATTTATTAAGACACAATACAACATTAATGCCGATCCTGTTATATGAAACCACGAAGCATACTTGCATGTGTAAAGACCCTTTCGGCCATGTTGGTGGCGCGACAAGAGCATCATGATATTCAAAACCTCTTCAGAACTCACGAGTGAGACATTGTGAAGAGGGTATGAAATTATTCACCTTTGAATAATTTAAGTTACCTTTGAAATCAAAATTGATTCAAAATGCGCAAAATTGTTTTTTTTTAAATCAAGGTTGATCTCAAGTCAACCTTGATTTTAAGGTTGAATTCATGAGTTGCGTTAAAAATCAAGGTTGATTTCAAAATGCGCCAGAAACCCCATTTTCTAACTATTAACTGCAAAACAGGACGAAGGCATCACGCGATGTCATGTCTTTGACATAGTATTGACATACTTGAGAGATTTTTAGTCGATAAAGATGCGGCTTATTTCCGTTTCAGTGGCCTAGCAACTGTCTGAGGTAGCTGCGACAATTACAAATAGTTGTAAAGGCGCCCTTTTTTAGAGTTTAAAATCGAATACTGTCAAAAATCAAAACTCATGAATTTCACTCTCGTAACTAATCACTATTTCCATGGCAAGCCTCTCGGGCTCTCAACGATAAATACCTTATTTCTAATATGGTTTTCGTCGATATGGTTTTGGCTGCACTTTTGAGTAACTGTCGTAAGTGCTGGTGGCCGTTGCTGGCATTACTAACTGAATTATCCAAGGTGTGATCGAGTGACTAACACCAATATAAGTCAATTTCCTTAGCTCAGAGTAGGCATAAATATTTCAACGAGTTGCATTGGCTGGTATTTGGAACGAGGTCAGCTTCATTCCAGGTTATAGATTTGAATTTCTCGCAAATGCTATCCCCAACTTGAACATCATTCCAAAATTTACACAGGCTTTCCAGTCGGCTATGTTAATCATGTTAGTCATGTGTATATTTTTACACTGTAAACCACATTCAGCAATACTTTTTACATCTACATTTTCTTCTCATTTTTTTTTAAGTTTCGAGAAGGCATAACAATTAAAGACCTTAATTAATTTAAAAACCTCAATTAATTTTTTTTAGCTTTTTGGTACCATTCTCTTTATATATTGTTATTATTATTATATAAAGTAGATCATAGCTTTTAAATATCGAGTCGATTATCAGTAAATAGACTATTCAATTTTTTAGTTTTTGCTCAGGTGTATCTCTAGTTACAAAATGAAATGGGGATTTGAAGTCGGAGGCTCAAGATCTACTATTGCAAGAACATGCGAAAGTTCTGCTTAGTTCGTACTGGAAAGGCGAAATCAAGACCGTCAAACTTAAAATTAGTCATTCTAATCTTACCAAAAGGTGGCAAACAAACGTCTACCGCAAGCTTAAATATGTCTATTCGGCAGAAAAGAAAGATTCCTTGCGAAAGGTTTTGATGTGAAATGTTTATTTTTCTCAGCTTAAACAATCCATAATGTGTCTTGGAGAACATAATTCGCTTTGCCTAATGTTCTCAATTTTCGTTGGTAACTTCAGTGGAAACACTGATGTAAAATTTGGCTGTAAAAAAACATGTTCTCCATTTCTACACCCCCAACTACTTGCAAATGCAGAGTAGTTTCATTTCGTCCGCAGAAGTAACACCGAAAAGATTGAGCGCGAAAAAATGGCTGTTTTGACTAACGATCAAACGGTGTAGAGGAATGATGTACATATTGCCAGTCCATATTAGAAAGAAACATGTGGTTACAATTCTGAAAACAAAAGACGTGTAGAGTAATTTTTGCTGTGAACTTAGTGAGGGAACTGATTTGATCGCTGCAGTTTGCTATCGGACAAGGATTCTCGTGAAGCAAAGTAATATCACCCGGTTAGCTCCTTATCTTACAATGATGCAGTTCCTCAGATTAAAGAGGGGTGTTGCTAGTTTTATGGTTTAGTATGTAAAGTATACCTGGGTTCCTCCCACTCTTTCATTACAGACTACTGCAAGTCAACGCGAATGTAACACTTACTTTTCCGATATATTCCAAATGAAGATAGAAACTGTAATTTAATGTAACTGTCAATGCAGAAACTTCTCAGAAAATGCACGGAATGTGTCCTTACAGAGTGATTGACATTATAAGCTTTAACCATTCTCAAGGTTTCAATTTTCTGCTCTCTCTGTCCAAATCGCCCTAGTCAATCAAATGTACAGAAGTGTACCTGGGTTTGGTTTCTCGGCTTGTTCAGCCCGATAGGTTCCTCCCACTCGTTCATTACTTACTGCGAGTCAGTACAAATACAGCACTTATTTTTCTGATATATTCCAAATGATGGCACAAACTGCAAATATAACTGTCAACGCGGAAGCTTCTTATAAAATGCGCGGAGTTTGTCTTTAGTTGGTGATAGGCATTATGAGTTTCTTAATATTCTTGACGTTTCAGTTTTCTGCCTCCTCCGTCCAAATCCCCTTTGCCAGTCAACTGTGTGGAAAAAAAATGACAACTGAATTAGAAAAAAAAAGTTGAAACATGGTCAGGAAACTGATCTGATCACCGTGGCTTCATGGCGGACATGGATTCTAAGTTCCACAGTACCAAAAACAGGTAGCTCGTTATTTCATGAGGATGCATTAACTCAGATTAATGAGGAGTGACAAAATGTTTTCTTTTTATATCTGACGTTCCTATTTCCTGACTGTTGCTTAGTGAAAAGGACCGATCATCAATGGAAATGAAAAGGTAAAATTCCTTTCTATTTTCTGGTATATTCTGATATAACCCAAAGTAAGATAAAAACTGCAAATGAACCTAATGGAACATCAATTCTTATATATAATGTCAATGCGGGAACTGCTTTGAACAGGTACATACATTGTACCCAGAAATTAATCAGTATAAAAATTTTTAACATTCTTGAACTTGACCGCATAGTTCTTTTATCTTTACTTATAGGTCCCACATATGTTATAGGCACACGTTGCATAATTACTTTTTTTGCCTACTCATCATCATCGCAATAGATAGACAGATAACTCTATTTAACGTGGACGAAACGTCTAACCGGATGGTCAGTTTACAGGTTTTATACAATATAAAAGATAATCAAAATAATACAATAATGATATTAACTATATAAATTTCTACTTCAACTTTTCAACCAACCCTTAGTAAACGTGCGATGGTCCTTCGCTAAAATTAGCAAAGCAAACTCTGGTAAGTGGTTGTCGTCGGTTTATCCTTACAACGTTTTAATGACAAGTGAACCATTTCATACAGACATTCCTCCTTAAACTTGGACACGTTCCAACTACGTAAAAAGTAGATCCATAATTAGCTCCATCATTTTCATTACGCGTGACTTGTTTCATCAAAGAAGAGGTTTTTTCAATTTCTATCAAATAGTAGGTGAGGCCACCTATTGTTAAGGAAGATAGATCCAACTTGTTATTGAATTGTGTATAGAAGCGTACAGTAAAATAAATGAGATTCAAATCAAATTTCACCGCTTTGTAGCCAAACGACGGTCTACCTTAGATAAAAGTCGGAGGTCCTTAAAAGGACACTACAATCGCACACTCAGAGCTACATCCTCCTCCAAACTTACGCTAAAAGGCATACCAAAATTGGTGAGCTGTCTGTTTCTTCGTTTATCTTAAGAGACCATTAGATTCATACACGTGCTTGCAGCTCATATTACGACAGGGTCATATTTGAACTACAAAGGCATTCTGGGGGTGAAGGGTAAGAATTTGAAACCTCCAGAAAGTTTAAAACTTATGATGCAATCTGCTTCTGAGGGCAAAGTCCGCGCAATTTTTAACTGGCTTCCGCAAAACAGTATAATACAAGCGGTGATGCATGTCCCATCAGGCGCATTTGCAGTTTCTATCTTCATTTATCTTTGCGTTAGCTCGTAAGCTGTAATGAACGATTCGAAAGAAGCTGTTGAGATGAAAAAGCCGATGGGCAGGTAAGTGCACGTATTGTGGCCATCCTGACTGGAGCAGTGACTTGAAGCGTTAACGATCGACACTGAATACGCTGAAATGACAAGCAACATTAACATAGACACAGCTTTCCTTAGGTTTACGAACACATTTAGTAATCAAGAAAGCGAAATATAAATGGCAAACATCTCACCAAAAAAGTCATTAACACTATTCTTTAATCTGAGTGGCTGCATGTTCCCAAGTTAAAATTTGGTTCATGAGAATGCATTTCCGACAACAAACCACACGGGCCAGAATGGTTTCCTGACCGATTTTAATCCTTTTTATCAACTTCAGGAAAAAACTTACCTTTGAGCTTAACTTGAAACATTGAGAAATCTATTTATTTGGCTGCCGCAGTCATTGATCTGCTTTCGGCATCTTGTACAGGAGGTTGATTTGAAATTTAGCCCAGGGCTTCAATGCAATGATAACAAATACATAATTAAAATGCTGCAGACTAAATAGAAGCGAGAATGGTAAGGATTTTTCGCGGAATACGAACTTTGAAAGATGCGATAAAACGATGAAGATGAACCAGTCGTCAAGTATAAACGAATAAAAATTGTAGGAGTAAACGATGTTTACATTGTACATAGCGTTCCCACCAGTCGCAGTATAAATACATACGGTGATTGTCGGCCAAAGGGATTGCCGAGCAAACGTGTTAATCTTTGCATTCTTGGTCTCTGAGCACAATGACACCTTGAGGTCTTTCATTTAGGAATGCTTCACACAGCTACTATCACCAACTACAGCTAATAAACAGGGAACCGAGAGGGAAATGAGTTAAATCTCCGACAAGGAAATGTTATACTGAGAGTCATAGTAGAAGTAGGTGTAGTGAAAAAGAAAAATTTGGAGGCTGTTACAGAGGAACAACTGCAGGCAGAACCCCGATGCATTGTGTAGCATCCGGGAGTAGGAGACGCTTGAATAGAAGGAAGAGCGGACTTCTTTAATACCGGCTATTTTTGCATGGAATCTTTCGTAGTTATTAACTGAGAAATGGTCGCTGCAAATGTGACCCGAAACTGGTGTCCAACCATTAGGTTCTCTTTTTGTTCGAACAAATGCAATCTACTGTCGCTGCACACTTTCATCAGCTGGAAACTGGTGAGGGCTAACTCCGTCTGCATTTATTTTGTTACAGCACATCACTAAACAGCGCTTTCCTGGTTTTCGTTTTCTTCGCTTGGAATCCTGTTGTTTTCCGTTTATATTATAAATTTCAATGCGGCTAAAAGTGGTACAGTTTTGGATAAATATATTTTCAGGTCGTAATTTGAGAAACATTACGTGCTTCTTATTTCCGTAGCGCTATTGTGTCGCTGACTCGGTTCGTTTCTTAAACCAAGACACTGCGTTTTATACTGTTTGCTAGGCAGTTTCATGACGTGCATTAACGGTTTCCTCTCTCAGGCTGTCGGCTTGTTTTATTTACGATAAGCGAGAGTAGGTAATTTACTGTTCACTCAACTGGCAGTGGTACATTTTTGAAACTAGTAACATTGCGAACAAGATTAATTTCATCACGTTTTCCGGTTGCAAATGACAAACAAAGCTTGAGTGTGACGCTCAGAACAAGGCGTTTTTTGTAAACGACGGTTTACAGCATGTTTTTGTTATTACTCACTTCCACTGGAAGTCAAACTCAGGAACACGAATGTGCTATATGTGTTGTTTAATGTTGGGTAACGTCATCTCTGAAGAAGTTTCAGCCAGAGACGAAACGCGTCAGTAAAAATAAACAAAAAGTTACAACAGCAAGAATTCGTACTTCGTGCTGCTAAGTCTCCGTTAAAAAATAGAAAGAAAGGATAAATACATTACCGGAACGTGGAAGAAGAGTATCGTTCGCAAAACCAGATGAAGACCCCCTATAATTTGAGACAACAGTCTGCGCTTATATCACGCTCACTTCAGAACCGATGGGCCTGAGGTCGCAGTGATGTACACCGGACAAAATCTCGAGACTCGATAATGGTTAAGAAGAAAAAGTAAGATAGATATATTTTTTACCGCTGTTTGCTATGGCATGCAATTTACTTGTGGTTTTGAACACAGATACGCGATCGGTCACTCTTCGATAATTCAACCCCTTCAGAGAAAGTGTTTTATTTCTCACTTCGTATTTCATAGTCTCTAAACGGTGGCTTGTAACAAAATGGAACAAATCTTTGTTTTTTTCCCGCTCGGTAGCAGCTGAACGGCGAGGGCGAAGTTGTTACTTTCAGGTCTTAGCATAACCCTTTTCACTGCCTTATACACGTGTGCGGTTCACATCACGTGACTTAGTCGAAACGTTTTAAAATGGCCGTCGATTAAGCATCAACAAAACTTTGTACAAATTTTTTTTTAGCACAATATATCCTTTATTTGCTTATTTAGGTTTCTTTAACCTAAGATGAATGTATTGGGACAAAAAAAAGAGGGGAAAAATTTGCCGTCAGTTACCCTAAGTTATCGGGAAACCCCTAAAGGTAAATAAAGGGAAGCTACTACAGAAAACAGAAGGTCTTTATATGAGCAGAGAAAGCTTAAACATCTTTCAAAACCGTTTTTCTAACACAGTTAACTATTTTCCTCGTCACCATATTCCCACCAATAGCGTAGCTTAATTTTTTGCTCCTAAACCCACACACAACCCACAATTCCTCCAATCGCTTTGACGAAGGGCTAACGCTCGAAACGTCAGCCTTTAAACCGTTTACGGTGGCCAATTTACGCTTTCAACTCAGTTGTTAACACTAAATTACCTGTTTTACTCTTCCACCGACGCAGCACCACAGTTTCTTTAGAAACTTACCCCCTTTAAACCAATGTTTGTCGACTTCAAACGTATCGCATTGAAAATGAAAGTTAGCGATTACTTTGATCCTATGGAAAATTCAGTTTTAAGTTCTCTGTTCCTGATTATCATTCAGTTAAGCCCAGTTTCACTAAACATATTTTGCTGGAGTGAATGGCCATGGATTATTAGTCAAGGATACAAATAGTAAGAAGGTTCAAGTTTAAAACTTATTGCATAGTGTGCCGACCTTATTGGTCTATGTATCCAATTCACAATCCGGGCTGATTCCAAGCAATAAAGAAATATTATTGCAACAAACACTGAAAACACAAGAGAATGATTCTTAATTTTCTTGTCAAAGAAGGTCGCATGCCATCCAGTCCATGGATACGTTTGTTATGCCTCAAGTGCAGTAAGAGTGATCACAAAGCTCCTTGCCACGAATACATTTGATAGCTAAATGTAGGTCTTTTTTGTCTGTTTCGTCTTAATCAAAGTCTAAAGCAGTGTGCCCATCTTTGAAATTATCAAGAAATAAGTTTTATGAGCTGCACCGCGGAACAAGGACCCCTAGCAATCGTTGCCACTAAACGTATGTTTCTTTTTCATTCAATATAAAAAGGAAGAAACAAACGGAAAAATTGACATCGTCGGAGTCTAAACCGGCAATAACTCAACAAAGAATAGAATTTGTAGTAGAAATCCTACATCGAGTCTAGAAAAGGATCTTTTCACGTTGTGTTCCCTGTCTGTTTGACTTAATGCGTGAGTGATTCCAAATAAAGATCACATCTTTTGTTCATGGTCAACACACAAGATATTTCAAAATTCACCCACAAAGCATTGCTTGGAAAACGAAATTTTCTCCGCTATACTTATATATTCTAGTAAAACATGATACAGCTTATCCAAGAATTATTGAACTATAAAGCTGTCACACTGTGAAATAACCATTACTGATAACAACTCATCAGTACTTCAGTTTAAAATATTATCTCCATAACTTCATCCTTTAAAAGTAGGGAAAGAGGCCTGTAACCTTTCCATTAGTATTCCTGAGGCGAAACACTAAACCAACTACAATAGCTACACTAACTACACCATCTACAATGGCTACACTTATTACACTACGTACAGCAGGGATACTGAATACGCCAACTTTAGGAGATATACTGATTACATCGAAAAAAGCTTTACTGAACAATTTTCCCATAACAGCTTTATCGACCGCAGGAAGTAAAACATCATCACTATATGTATGTAGGTATGCCAACTTTAATTGCCACACTAACGTTACAAAGTGCAACCGTTACACTGTCTAAAGAAGGTACAAAAGCTGGGGCTGCACTAGGTACATTGCTTACAGCAGCTTTTTGGGCTACACCTTGCACAGTAGTTACGCCTACCTTTGGAGTAGTAAGGGTATTTGTTGAAGTCAATGTAGCCAGCGTAGATGTTATGTTTGGTGTAGTCAGTATCATAGAAGTTCTGTTGAAGCAGTGATCGTAACTTTCGTTTATGGTATAGCTAGTGTGGTTGTTATGAGGTTGACGCACTCATTGCAGATGTTGTAGTTGGTGTAGTCAGTATTTTACGTAATGGTGTATTCAGTCTTTTCCATACTTTTCCAGTTACTAGTTTACCAGCTTTTCTAGACTCAAGAAATGACACAGAAGATAGAGAATGAATACTACTTATATTAACTGAAAGTATATCACTAATAACACTCTTAACCCTCAATAGATTAGTGTCACCATGCAACCTCACTTGCTGTACATGTATATGTGTAAAGATTTGTTTGTTTATTTGTGATTGTAGTCATGACCTCACTTTTCCTGAATTACTTCCACAATACTATTTGGCAATTTTCTTTTAATATATTGATAATCCATTTAAAAGTCCCTTTGATCTACATTTTATTGTTAGACACTCCAAAGGTTACCAATTTATTCCATGTCTGCTCTGGTCATCCCTCTGCAATTTGTATTTGCGTCTTCTGAAACGCTTCTTTGGTTGGTACTGTGTAAAGATTGCCAGACATCCTGCGATAACAATCCAAATATGCGTCATATTCATCGGTATCTGTTCTATGGGTTTTATGTGGTTCCATTCAGAAGACAGAACGGTAAAATTGTTCATCCCTCAAAACAGTAGAGCCATAGACGACTTAGAAACTGCTGAGAAATACTTTCGAGTCGATTTTCGAGAGGAAATCATCCTTTTAACGGTATCACCTGGTCATCCCAATGTTCTTTCTCCTAAATGTGTGAGGCAGGCCTTTCAAGCTCATAATGCAGTTATGGGAATTGAATCTTATTCCCACTTCTGCGTCACACTCTCTGGGAACAAATCTAGATCCCTAAACGATTGTATGATGATCAACCCACTGGAATTTCTACAGTTCAATGAAAGCAAAGTGAGCAGCGATAATATTGAAGTGGTTCAACAGGAATTGAACAAGGCTTACAATGACACAAGCTCACTTATGCGGAATGGACGCCCATTCTGGTTAAACTTCGACCGCATGTTTGGGGATGCGAATCGAACACAAGGAAGCATAACAGGCGCCAAAGCATTGCAAATGATTTATCTCCTCCGTAATCCCAAGGATGATGATGCAAATGAAAAGGTTCTCCAATGGGAAAAGACTTTTGTAGATAAACTGGCCTCATTGGTAGACAAACTGTCATGCTTCAAAGTCCATTATTCAAGTGAAAGGAGCATGGATGATGCCATAAGTGAAAGCACTGGGTCTGATGTCAGTCTAGTGTCAGTCACTTATAGCCTTATGATTTCTTTTGCTTGCATCATGCTAGGAAAGTTCTTGAATCCGCTGACTGGCCATTCTCTACTTGCCACCGCAGGAGTGTTTGCAGTGGCCCTTGGTATTTTAGCTGGACTTGGCCTTGGTATGTGGTTCCGAGTTCCCTTCCCCAGTATGGTGGGAATAGTGCCTTTCCTGGTCCTTAGTATCGGCATAGATGACATGTTTATCATGGTAGACGACCTTGATCGACAACCATGTGGGCTGTCGACAATTGAGAAAATCAAAGCAGTTATGAAGCATTCAGGAGCAACTGTAACCATGACAACTATGACTGACTTAGTAGCATTTGCAGTTAGTACATCTTCCTCATTTCCAGCAATCAGGTAAGGCACTTCTTTAATTGTTGCCAATACCTTTGAAGAGCCTAAATTTTCCTCATAAGCATCAGAGAGCGTAAGCACATACCATTTAACTTTGCCAACAAATGGTCTTTCAGGCAGAAACAGCAACCCAGTCCTTGTTTTAAAGAGGGAAGGGTTGAGTTTTCCTTTTCGGTGCATTTTAGTTAAGAGTTGATAAACTTAACTCATACATGTAGTTATCACAACAGCCAATCAGAACAGATGAAAGAATCATAGGGAGCAAAACAGAATCCAAAGTGAATTCAAAAGTGAGTGACTAAATCACAAGTACACTCAGTTTTGCTTGTGATTGGAATAGAGGCTGGTTTAAGATTTCACATCAATAGGACAGTTCAGCAATCATCTGATTACTCTACATGCAAGGAAGAAGCATCTCAAAACTTTGTGAAAGAGTCACAATAGAATTATTGGATTGAGCACAAATTAATTTTAAAAATTATATTAAGCTTTTTCACAGAATTATTTTAACTTTGCACTCTTTTAAATTGCAACACCAAACACTGCAAACAAAATCAATAACAACGTTTGAAGTGGATTTGCATCAGCTCAAGTTCTCCTCATGTAAATATTGACCTCTGTTATAATATATTTTAAATTCAAATTTGATTTCCATTGTTTTTATTACAGTGCTCGATGCATTTGCAGAGTATGGTATATCTGAAGGTTGAACTGATCAATCAGTGATTAGTTCAACCTTCATGTCTTGCCAAATTGTACATACTCACTAGTTTATCTAGTTCAAGTCCACTGGCATAGTTTGGATGATACTCTGTCCAGGAGGAGACATGTCTTGCCATTGTGCATCCTCACTGGTTTATCTAGTTAGTCCTCTGGCATGGCTTAGATGATACCTCAATTGTGGGATCATTCAAGGTAGCTTAATGCTTCTATATATATATATATATACACATACATAAGTTAAAGAAATAAAGAGGATGCATCGATTCTCTGTCACTTTGAGTTTTGCACCTAAGTGCTTATCAGACAGAACCAGGTCTGTCTGACGAGCACTTAGGCGCGAAACTCAGAGTCACAGAGAATCAATGCATCCTCTTTGATTCTTTAACATATGTTTACTTGGCTCAGCTACCACAGCACTGAGCACTTTATGCCAAGGTAGACTCTACCCCCACATTCATTTATATTCATAATATTTAGTTCAAAATGACTAAAATGAAACACGCATGATTCCCTGTAACACTGAGTTTCATGCTTACGCACTCGTCAGACAGATTAAATCTGTCTGAAGAGTGTGTAATCCCAAACTCAGAGTTACAGGGAATCATGCATGTTTCATTTTAGTCATTTTGAACTGTATTTCGCTCTACACTCATGTGTATTAAGCACTTTCCAATAGCATTTGCTACAATTTCCTACAATTATTTATAATATATATATATATATATATATATATATATATGTATATATATATAAATATATATACATATATACACACACATACACACACATATACATATATCTAGTGAGGATGTACAAAGGCGAGACATGAAGGTTGAACTAATCATTGATTGGTCTATTCAACCTTCAGATAAACTATGCTCTGCGAATGCATCGGGCACTTAACCACAAGGATAGACTATAACAAAGATTTACATATATATATATATATATACCTTTCTTCAGGTGCTTACAAGGATAATTTTTAAATGCTCAAAAGCTCCTTTTCTTCATTTCCTTTATTTTTGTGAGCTTAATGTGTATTTCAAGGGTGATAATAAAGGGAAATATTAGATGCTAGTCACTTACATGTAGGGGTAGAGAGTTAAACAAATATTTATAGTGTTGAAAGAAAGAAGAGGATCCTAACTGACCTGAAAAACTTAGTTTACAGTTACAAACAATAAAATCTGTTCCTCTAAATACCCATGAACACAGATTTAGTTCTAGGTAGATGCTCAGTTACTAACTGCCTGGAAAAATTGTTCCCTACCCAATAGGATTTAAGATGATTTGACTAGCTACTGACATCTCAATACTTATTTATGTAGCAAGGTGAAATGATGTGAACAGTTAAAGTTTTTTTCAGATTTTCTTCTCCATCTAAATTTATACTACTATAACTTCTTTCATAGGTATTTCTGTACTTATGCTGCTTTGACAGTGACATTTTCCTTCCTGATGGTTGTCACATTCTTTGTTGCTATTATGACATATGACATGAGACGAATTAAATCCGGACGCAGAGATTGTATCCCACTTCTCCTGGCGCCTCCACCAAAAGAGGGTATGCCAGCCTGGGAAGAACCTCTTCCACAGACTTCAAATCGACTTATGAAATATTGGGCCACATTGTTGATGCTTCCAGTCACAAAAGTTGTGGTCATACTATTGTCACTGACATTGCTTGCTGCTGGAATATATGGGGTCACCCAGGTGGAGGAGTCTTTTGATGAGCGCATGCTGGCTAAAGATGATTCTTACTTGAAGAAATTCTTGACAGTTCAAAACAAATACTTTGGAAGTGGAATGGAAGTGAATCTTATAGAGACTGGTAAAGTTGATTACAAGCTAGAATCAACCCAGGAAAGCATCAAACAGCTGACAAACATCTTGATTGAAAATGAATATTACCAGAACCAATCAATATCCTGGATGGGCACATTTTATCAGTATGCCAAGATGTCTAAGAAAAACATTACTGGCTCAGGATTTCTACGCGAACTGAAACAATTCCTCCAAATTCCCACCTTTTCTTATTACAGGCAGGACCTGAGGTTTTCAGAGGATGGAAAGAAAATAGAAGCTTCTCGTGTCATTGGTTTTATGAAGAATTCCAGCAGCTCCACTTTCCATAAGAATGCAATGCTCACACTCCGTGAAGACATTGAAAAGAAAACATACCTGAAAGCCTTTCCGATAGTTCGATATTTCATATTTTTTGAAATGTATGCTATTGTGATAAAGGAGACCATACGAAACCTGATTATATCAGCCTTAGCAGTGTTTATTATCACAAGCCCCTTCTTAGTAGACTGTGCGGTGACGCTCCTGGTGATGGTAAACTTCGCAGCCCTGGTTTGCGAGTTGTTCGGTTTGATGGTAATCTGGGATGTGGCTCTGAATGCTGTGTCCATGATTAACCTTATTATGGCTATTGGCTTTGCAGTTGATTACAATGCACACATTGCTCATGCCTACATAACATCAAACAAGGCAACTGCCAATGAGCGAGTAGTGGATGCACTGACTACACTGGGTGCAAGTGTTTTTATGGGAGGTAGGTCAGGAGCTCAATTACTAATTGCAAATCTTGTATTTTGAAAAATATGAAGCCTTCCCCACCACCACAAAAATTTCTTCTGTCACAGCTTTGGTATTTCTGCAGTGGAATCATGTGTACTTGAGGCATCTGTTGGTTGAGTATTGGTTGATACCATGGGTTGACATGTTGACTGGGTGTTGGTTGATACATTGGCTGATGCACAACCCACATACTGATGGAGTAGCAGCCGACATGTTGACTGAAATCGGTGGCCTCTCAACCAACACACATGTCAAATGTTACTTGGCTGACATGCTGCTGATACTTTACCCACACACTCAGCCCACACTACTTTCACTTGATCTGCTTTTTTTGGTGAATTCTACCTACTCTATTCCAATGTTAGCTTATTTTCTCTAGCCAAAGTCTTTGTTTGTGTAATATATGGCTCAGGGAAAGGAGCTAGGATAGCTACCATTCCAGCAAAACAATGGTTAATAATATACACATACCACCCACAGTCACATCCACATATACCACCCTAAGTCCACCCATATGCTACCGACCCTTGACCAGTATGCTGCTAACTGTTGATGGCGATGTCCTGGTTGAGGTGTCAGACTAGTGGCAACTGACATATCAACCAAGTAGAGACTGATAGTGGTGACCTACAATCTCACTGGTATCTAACATGGCAACCCACAGTTGGCTGACTATTGGTCAATGTGTCTGTGGAGTATTGACTAACTCACATTCGACATGTCAGCCAGTACTATTGGTTGGTACTTGGCCAACAGATGCCTTAAGTATACATGATCCCTGTAGTGTAGCTGAATGAACATTCCATAAATATAGCCATCAATGTTGGCTCTTTTTTTCAAATTAGATTTCTAAAGAATAGGATTTAAGGTTAAAGTATTTTTTCAGATACTGTCTGTGCATGATTTGAATGACTTCTAAATTTACCAGTACTGGATATGTTATGAACTCCTCTAAAAGTTTTCTTTTTTGTCTGATGAAGGATTCAGTACCTTCCTTGGCATGGTTGTCCTTGTTTTCACTGATTCAGAGCTTTTCCGCATATTCTTTCGAATGTTTTTTGGCATTGTTGTGCTTGGCCTTCTTCATGGCTTGTGTATCCTGCCTGTTTACCTGTCCTTCCTCTGCTGGAGACCTGCTGTTATCACAACTCTCTCGGTGGGGGACATTTCTGGTAAACATGGAGAAGGAAAAGAATCAGAAAATCCCACCAATGAAAATGACAGATTACAATTAACATCACGTCAACAAATGGACTCAACCAGACATGTCAACGATGCATTATTTCAATCACATCAGCACCCAAACTCTCAGGATGATAAACCAGCCAGCCAACAGAAAGAAAACGTTGCTGTTGAGATAGGAATTCAAAATATGGGGATTGAAGAAGACTCAAGAAACACACAAAGCAACAACATTGTTTCCAGCATGTCAGCAGAAGACCCTGAGTAGGAGACTAAGAGCACAGATGGACCAGCCAACTAACAGACAGTGAAGAATGGTCTCAATATACCAATTCAAAACCTGGGATATGATGTAGATGAGCATGAGGCTGAGATGAACATAACAGAGACAGAAGGTAAAATCAAACAGCCCTATGACTAACTCAAACACATTTTGAATGAAGATGAGTGTTCTTGGACTGAAAAAGAGCCCCAAATTACATCACTTTAAATTTGCTACTACTAGCTAAATCTTGCTAGAAAACATTGCAATTTAAATTTGAGGAAGGTTTGAAAGCTGGAGTGTTAGGAGTGTAGAGTGTTAAGCTGACAATTGACAAGATGCAGCTGTATCAATGTGCTTAAATTGAAAATCAGTGTAGATATTTTGACAGTTTGCCAAAATTACTTAGTTAGCGTGAAACTTTGGGTATGATACTTTTGGAACTAGTAATTCCATAGGACAATCACAGTTTAGTGACCATTCATTAGTTGGTAATTGTGAAGGACAACTCCCTGAAAAGAAAGTTTGCTGACAGTTGTAAGCACACCTGTTGGCCACAGTTGATCTGTTGGTTATCTGTCTGTAAATTGTCAGTAACAACATTACTGTCAGCTGACTGTTGGGTGACAGGTGTGCTTAAACTGTTGACTGTAAGTCAACTGACTCTTGGCTAACAGTCCACTGACAGTTGGTTGACCCACTTTGTACAAACTGCCAGCCAACTGTTGACAGACTATTGGCCGCCTGTCAACTGACTGTCAGCCAAAAGTTTGAAGCACAGTTGTCAGGTGACAGTCAGTAATCTGTTATTGATCTGTCAGTAAGTTGTTGGTAACAATATTATTGTATTACCACATTTATAATCTAAACTTCAGGGCATGTAGAGGCTACATTGGATTGAAAGTTTAGGCCACATTTAGTGCCAGTTCTTACAAGGGTTGCGGAAATACTGGTGTTGCAATCTGCCATATTGCAAAGGTTATAAAGACCCCATGAGTTCACTTAATGCAGTTTGCACATGCACAAACTGATAAATGTATTATAGAGCAGGCAAATAGAGAGGGAGGACGAGGACATGGTTGATCAGTACAGTCAAAGTTTTGTTTTAGATGTTAATTTGCGGGTATATCGCCAATTTGTAACCTTTCTGAGGGGGGCATTGGAGCCTATTAGAAGCTGCAAAACTGTAGAAAACAATCATCCAGAACCCAAAAACCCCCCAAAAATTTGATCAAAACTGAAAACCGCACGCAAAGCTACATTTTCACATCCCAGTCATCAAAAGCCTGATCGATCCAATACGGTGGTGACAAGGGGAGCATACCTACACTAATTTCAAAAAATGGAACTAGCTGTCCCTTAATCAATCAGAACTTGCACCAGCCTTGCTACTTTTGAGAAACAAGTTGATAGAAACAATTAAAATTTTTAGCAAAGCTTTTGGTAGTAGTTGTTGTCTTGAATGCAATGTAAATATTTACAGCTTTTAGTGCTATATATTATCAAATTAATTACTATCATTATTAATTATAACATTCGAGCAGGCAGATTTCACAGTGTGATTACTTCTGTCTTAAGATCTAGTGGGAGACAGATGCATAGATGATGTCATCATTAACAATTTTTTGGTCCTTCATTGTACAAAAGAAATAAATTCTGAATTGCTGTGGGTGCGCAAAGTTAGAGATCACAGAGGATATGAAAATGTGGTAAGAACGTCAATGACATGGTCAGCTCCCCATCATGTGCTACTTTTTTGTTCTAATCATATTTTGACATCACTGTGATCTATTACATACTGAACAGATGCACAGAAACATTAAAGACAATTTTACATGAGTTAAGGCAACTTGGGTAGAATCAGGTGACTTCAGGCAACTTTGAGCAACTTCAGGTAACTTAACACACCCACACAGAACAAACAAAACAAAATATTTCTGACAACCACTGAGATCCACGATCCAAACTTTATCACATGCAAGATCCAGAATCCGGGCCCAACAAATCGATGAAAACTGCAAATTGCTGCAATCCCAGGATCTGCAAATGCGCTTTTGATCTGAATCCAAAATCTGGGCAAAAATACTGCTGATCCCTAGGCCTATTCCTCCCCTCTGCAAGGTTAGAATTGAAAATCAGCAAAAGGACAACAAGAATTTAAGCAAAGGGAGAGTGCTTAGGGATGTTGGAGATTTACATGAATTGCTCATATGAACTTCACTCTCTTCCCCCTTTGGTAGCCAAGATTAGCTCAAAAATAACTTTTCACTGTTTTCTATTCACAGCAACCATGTAACCTGAGAAATTATGACCCAAAATTATTATGATTAATAATAATAATAATAATGGTTTAATATCAGTACATCCATGGTATGGCTCTTCGCCTGATATAAAATAAAAAGAAAATATAAATAATAAATAAATCTGAATTATGAATTTGTAAATAGCAAGGTAATAAACAGTAAAATGTAATTATACAATATATATATTGTTTAAAACTAGGCAAGAAATTATTCCACCCTATTCCGGCAGTGCTTCCTTAAAATACATAACCCTTTGAAAATGATCTTGACATATGCAGAAAATTTGATGTCACCATTTTGAATTTAGCTCAGCAACTCTGCCACTTACTTGTGACCCAAGTATTTTTTCCTTCATGATGGGGGTTGCAAAAGTTTTTAAAAAATTGTAAAATAAAACTATCAGCTGAAGAAAGAAAATGCACCGGTTAGGGTGACTAAACCTGCTTCTCTTAACTTTAGATTTCTATTTCAAAATATGACTTCAAGCCCTGTTTGTGACCGGAACTTTTGAGAATGGGCCCCAGGCCCGGGTCGTCGTGCTGTGTTCTTGAGCACAGCATTTTACTCTCACTCAGGCTTTTACTCTAAAGGGAAAGGGAGTTATTCCTAATGTTAAAGAAACCCAATAAGTCTCGGGTAACCATGGTAGATGGGCCACTCGGCCTTTTGCAGATTTTACCTTCATTCTCACTGGCTTCAGAAACTTGATTAGATAATACAAATACTAACAGCACCACAAGAATAATTAAAAATGGCCAAACATCTCTTATGTAAAGCATCGTAGCATGATATTTAAATGCAGTCAGTTGCAGTTGCTGTCAAAAACAAAATGGAATATAATAAATCAAAATAAAGCGAAATAAATCGATAAAAAAGACAGGAGACTGAATCAGCGGAAGAAGAAACCTGCTGGATTAAAAACGACAAAAAAACCTGATTTTGGTGTGGCGAGCTCACGGAAGGCGCTGACACATCTAGATGCAATCGAAAATTGTTTTCATCCGCCATTTTGAACGTTATGCGGATTACCGCTGTACTTTAAGTTCCAGACTCCCTCCCCTGTTATTTCAATTCCCGTTCCCTTTTCAGTTAAGTTTTGACAACATCCAGACTCTTTGCAGATTGGAAAAGTAGTTTTCAATCAACAGCTGTTGTTACAACATCCAGATTCTTTGAAGACTGGAAAAGTAGTTTTCAATCAACAGCTGTTGTTACAACATCCAGATTCTTTGAAGACTGGAAAAGTAGTCTTTAATCAGTGGCTGCCTCCCCACCTTTCACGTGTTTATCACATCTTTATGTTTAGATGTGACCAAAAACTCAATTGTGAGGAGTCTCTTCTCATCCAAAACATCGAAGCTAATCGAAGCTTACATGGGTGAGCAAGATACTTCGGTGACTCGTGCAGTCTTTAATCGTCGGAAAGTCACCGTTAAAGTTGTATGCTCGACGATTCCGTGGTAAAATTTGATATAGAGGTAAGTGCTTAAGCTTTGACCGCCATGAAAGTTTATCCTCGGACAAGAAAGGTGCACAGAATTTTTACGTTCATCTTGTCTTTTTTTTGTCGGCATTTTATCAGTTCTAAAAGTTCTGAAATTCTCTGATGTGCTTCGTAGCCCGCAATAAAAAATAGCGGCTACCTTGATCCATGTGTTTCGTGCTGAAATTAAAAGTAAACTTTCGGTATTCCTCGCCCGACTATGCTTTCAGTTTGATGTGAGGATTTCTTTAATTTCTTGTTGCCCGATGTTGTCGTTGAAAAATATGCACAAATTGGCATTTCGATCGATGAAGCGTTCGAAGTATTCGATATCGATAGCTCCGAATGTTTTGTGGCTATAATTTAATGGCTCTCCACGTGCTTAATTTTGCCTTCAATATTTTTTTACCTTAGATTGCCTTTTAATCTTTGTTGTGACCCGAAAAAACATTCTGTCTTTCATTTTCCGTTGGACTAGGTTCAATCAGTGGAAATGTTATGTCGATCGGACGGTTCACGGTCGTTTCGATACAAGTGGTTTCGATACAAGTTGAAGTCGATTCGTTACACATGTAAAGTGGATTCGATACATACTTATGTTACTTCAAGTTGTTTCGATACAGAATACTATACCATATATAAACAACCAAAGGAACCTTCAAAGACATACTAGAGCGAACACAAACCTCTGTTGTAAATAAACCCATACCTCTGCTAACCTCCACATGGACTCGAGTTTTTCTGGGATGGGTTTAACTCTGTTGCCCACAGTGCAATAAAACTACTGGAGGTGTGTTCCTACCTCAACGGCCTGGTAGCTTCCTGAGACAGCTCTTTTAGGAACCTCTGCACCCTGTTTTCATCACTTTGGGACGATTTCAGGTTGCTAAAAATGGCTCTTTTAGGAGCCACCACATCAATGTAAATGTACTTGAGTAATTACAACTATGTCGATTGATCAAGTCGCTTAATTAATCGAGTCAAATTTCAGCTAATTTGTTGAATAGAAAACAAAAAATCACCACACATATGAAAGACAGAAACTAACACTCTTATACTGAACTTTTCTAAAGTTTGCTTCAGTATCCAAATGACTTCAGCTTGTATCGAATCGACTTTACATGTGTAACAAATCAACTTCGCCTTGTATCAAAACGACTTGTATTGAAACCACTTTGTATCAAAACAACTGGACACCTGATCGGACACACACTTTGTTTGACTTTGCCTCAAATTATGTATTTAAGTGTTTGTCTCGCTCCATCTTAATATCAGCATGGCTAAACACTTTTTTAGTAATATTTAGTGGATTATGTAGCGGTTTTGCCTCTGCTATTTTTATTGATCTACTTGTTTTGGGTGACTCCAGGAATGTTTGGCAAGTGTGTCACCGAAATTGGAGCAAGGGTGTGAACATGAACATGTTTATGTTTTTAAAAAAGTGTGGATTGGAAATACTTTGCCACCATGCCCCACTGAAAAGTGTAACATTATTCTTGTTTCTCTCAGCAGAGCTTTCAATAACACCTGGTACCCACTGGAGCTCTGGTGGGTGTTCTGTTGTGAATTGCCGGGTATACTTTGCCATGTTCAAGTCAAATTTACAGAACAAAAAGGTAAATAAATAACATAGGAAATAACAGTCAATTTAGTACTGGAGTAATCACCCTAGTTATTTTTTTAATCCTATAGTCTTTTTTTGTTAGATTCATTCTTTCACTGGCAGTTTTCTCTCTCTGCTTGTTTCGTGTGTATTTTAAAAGTTAATCACGCTCAAAGTAGAATTACACATCATTGGTTACCTAAATAGTTTTCAAACAAATTTGTGCTGAACTAAAATCATTAAATACTTTTACACAAGTAAAATCACAGCAGTTCTTCTCAGCTGCTGGTTAGAAAACAAACTTGAAAATCAGATTAGTTAAAACAGCTGGCTTGTTGATAGCACACGTAAATCAAATTTGAAATTTTTTTGCAAAGATGTTGACCTTGCTAAAAGACGCTTAACTTAGGCATGGCATTAAACACCTAGGGTCTAAAATTTTATAAAAAAAGCTGCATTTGTTGAAAAATTGAAGAAGACCTTGTTCTATGCTATGACGATTGTTTGTGATCCGATATGAGACACAAGCCATGGGAACAGCTAAAGTTCATTGCCTGATTGATTTAATTCAATTATCTTATATAAACATTTAAATGAACACTTCTGTGGAAAAGAATAATCCTGAGGTTTTATCAGGAAATAAAACTGGTGGAATTCACAGCCACAAATCTTTAATTTCACCCAGTAACCAAAAAAAAAAAAAACAGAAAAAACACAACACAGCACAAAACAAAACAAAACAAGAACAAAAACTTGCAATCACAAAAATGCGTTCAGCTTTCAAAGCTGAACGCAATTTTGTGATTTTAGATTTCTTCCAGGCGACTTTTACCTTTATAAACAAGGTTTGAGTAAAAAACTATTGATATTGTCTTCTCATACCATAAACCAAATTTCCAGGAATAATAAGATTTTGAGTTTACAAGAACATACTGACTAAAATTTCAGTAACTAGTAACCAGTAACCACATGTCCTTTTAGAGGAGTTTTTGTGTGAAACTCAAGCAGCAGGTTTGCAAATCAGCAAATGGAAGATTTTGATTAAAAATAAACAATCAGTTAAACATTTGTTACAAAGGAGTTGACTAATAATAAATGATCATTTACCAAAGTTCACCACAGAAAACTCTGTTTGAAGCAATTTTACTCTAATGGAACTAATGGGTGAACGAGATTGAAATTGTTTTTCATATTATCCTCTGGCAGGTGCTTTACTGAGGTAGCCACTTACTTCAAATCTTATTGAAAGCACCACTCAGTGTCAGTAAGAATGGACAGGTGCATTGTGGCCACTTACATATGTCATAGTTTGGTTTTACTTGTAATTGTGTCCTTTATCAAATGTTAATTTTCTTTTCTTTTTGTAGCCAAAAGGTAGAGGCAAATTTCTGTCTGTGAATGCCTGAACTTGGAAGAACGTGAATACTTTGGACTAAGTTTTTATGACAAAAATGATAATTTGGTAAGTGCCTCATTGTATTTATAACAAGTTTAAAACAAGGCAAAATTTGCATCCTGGTGATCTTGCACTCAATGTCAAATCAAAAATGAAAGGTACAAAAAATTAAGGAAAAAAATGACTTAATTGAAGACTGCAAATACAATCATGACAATTCCCTTGTTTACTTTTTACCACCACATCAGGATGCAGCTCAAGTTGCTTTTGTGTAATTTAGAAGGAACTTTGTCTTCTTGAACTTTGTTTCAATTATCTGGAAGTACAATGTATTTTTGAGGCTTAAAGTTTACAATCAGAAAAATGGAGTGGCTTTGCAGAATCATCTTCTCAACATCTGAATAAAACTGGCTCAGGGAACTGAAATATATCCAGAGAATTCTCCAATCTTTGATGCCCAATAATCCCTGATACGTGTTCTTGAGAAGATGGTCCTAGTAAACATTGTACATGTAAATAACTTGCTAGATTGAAGTTGAGTTCAAAAATTGCACTCTAGATATAAGGCCTCCATGAATTATTTAAGCACGTGGATTACACCAAATGAAAAACATTGGTTTTTGTTTCTGTGGAAATCACAACCATTTTCCATCTCAATATACCACTTCCACCTCAATTAAACTTCACCTCAGAGTTTTAAAATTTCATTAGTTGGGTGTATAATTCACATTTAGATTCCTTCATTTTGGAAAAAAAAATAGTCTGTTAAGGGTGAACATTTGTATTTATAAGATATCCATTGTACATGTAGGTGTGATAAGAAATATTTTTGCAAATGTAGATATAAAATTTCTAAATGCTTTCCTATCCTACAATTGTGTAAATGTGAGTGTTGAAAATAAATAAGTAAATAAGCAAAATAATACATTATTATATTTTCTGATGTGCACTATTATATGCAGCTGTGTCTTTTGCATCAATACTACATGTATATTCAACCCTTGTACATGTATATAACATGATGTCATAAACATAGAAAAAATTCCATGAAGTTATTTTGTACTTTCAAAGTGTAACATAGAGGCATTTGAAGTATACTGCCATTGATGCAATTTTGCCTAGCTGTTTTTCACTCCCTCTTTGGGGTGATAGTACTAGATCTATACGTGTATGTAAATTTTTTTTTTTCATATATAACAATTTCTTTTACTATTCAGTCTTATCCCTTTCCCCTGATCTGAATCTTTGTTTACTGTTAGTACAGCCGTTTCCTTTTCATAATATTATTTGGCATAGGTTGAATGTTGGCTTGAAGTGCTAAATTTCTCAGATATTTTTTTAGACTTTGATCACATGGTGCAGAAATTGTGTTGTCATCATATTTTAATGCCCATGACTTATTCATTTGTTTATTTCACTTTGCTTTTTGGTCATTATTTACTTGTTTATTTATTTATTACATCCATTTGAAAATCACTGGTGATCCTTGTTAGGTTTTACAAAATGGTACCATGTACATTTGCAGTGTTAGGAGCAAACTGTACCTTAAATACAAAACCTTAAATTTGTACCTTAAATTTTTTTTTTTTTTACTGTTGTGGAACAGTGAGATTTCCAGTTTTTTTAGGGCATTGCAATTGAATTTTTGAAAGATTGAAACACCTGTATAGCATTTTCCTTTGTTTCTTCAGGTGTCTGTTGCCTGCTGGTGCTGACTACAACCTCCTGGGTGTAGCCAGAATACTAGAGATGCATGGTATTATACTCTATCCTGCCAAGGTAAGACATTCCTTTGAAATGCTGAATATTTTAGATCTGAATTGAATGGAAAGAAAATGAAGGGAAGGAAAAATAATACCAAGTTAAATTAATTATCAATAAAATTACTTGCCCCCCTTAGAAACACAGATCCTTTGCGAGTGATGGTGATGTGCTACTTTTTTATTCCTTACAAGACAAAAATGATGTTGAACTTTTCCTTGCAGGCCCAGCTCATACATGTATGTGTGTCTGTATTTCAGAATAGGGCAAAAATTAATACATTTCCTTGTAAGTTCATGTACACATGGTGTTTTCTCTACTTTGAAGTTGCTAATCCACCTGTTGGAACCCCTCACCTTTCCCCCTTTTGTCACCCAAATTACAGGTGAAATAATATGTTTTTGTGGTTTTGTTGATCATCTGTGCCCACTGGTTATATTTCATTTCTGTTTCAGGGCAAAAATAAGAAAGTGTAGTTTTAAGAGAAGAAGATTTCTTTTGAAGCTCCATCCTGAAATATTTGTAAGTTGCAGATGTTGTGAAACATTAGAGCCTGGCATTTATGAGTACAGCCATAGGGCTATTACTCAATTAAGTTTTGAAATTTATCTGGAATTGCTTTAGTTTTGCCTTATTCCCTCAGTGATTAGTCTCAAAAATGCACGTCATTGTCTAAATCAGTTGGATGCAAATTAATTAAAACCAATCCTTACTTTACTAATTGTGGTTGCCTGTGCTTTATATTTTCCTGTTTTAACTTCTTGTATTTTTTTTCTTATTGGTGCTGATTACTTCAGTTTTGATTTTTTGACACAGTCTAAAACTACTCTGAACGAACCTATAGATATTTGGGTTAATTGTGTTCCTTTTTATCTTAGGGCCATAACTAGGATGTTGTGGCAAGTAGGAATGCATGTAAAAGCTTTTGGAAAATTGCAATAACTACACATGCTTTCTTCAGGTAAGTCTTTAATGTGTTGGTTTTTCTTGAATACCAGAGAAATGTGGATTACTATTCTTTTTTGTTTAATGTACTCAGTTAAAGCTGCATGTACATGTATATCATTATTATAGAAATTTTGCACCACTGTTTAAACCAAAACATAAACCAACTCCAGTGTAATAGTTGGGTTCTCTGTTGGTCCTGGGGTACAGTGCACATATTTATCTCTCCATTATTTTCTAACAATTTTGGAAAGTAAAATTCGTATTCATCATCTTTTTTTTTCATCCAAACTTGACTAATAATTAACAACTTGAATAAAGAGTTCTGTTGAGACAATTGATAATTTTTGTCTCGCTTGCGTCATGCCTTTTTTAAGTTTTGTTATCAATAATTGTCCACAACCGGTTGATCAAATTAAGGTTACTAAATTATTATGTGATTTTTTTCAGGTGAAAGAATGCCAGCCGAAAGAAGGTAAGGAAATGGATCATTATGGAAAAATACATCATAAATGATGCCTTGCAAGGTTAGAATTGGAAAAACCATTAAAAAAACACAAGAATCTAAGCAAAACGAGAGTGTTTAGGAATGTTAAGATTTCCTTGGGTTATACGGACAAACTTAATCCTCTCCTCTTTAAATAGCCGTCATTGTGTCAATCAAAATCATTTTTGTGTTTATATTTGCAGCATTTACAGAAGCTTGGAGGAGGGATCAGTAGAAATGTTTTTGTAGTAAATATTGCCATAACCATAATAAAGACAGACTGCTGAATAGAAATGGCCTTTATTTGACTTTGCAAGTGATTAACATAATCGGACGACCGCGAAGACGTTAGGAGTTAAAAGGCGTACAATGTATTGTTTTTCCAATTTTGTTCCATATCCCACAGCTTTTTGCGTAATGAAGTATGGGGTAAAAAAGAAATCCTGCCGAAACTGCGTTGCTATGCATTTTTTTTCTGTTTAATCCACTTTACTGAATTTGGATCTTAGCTTTTGTAAAGTAAAGTTGTTGTCTACATGTAGCTGTTTATAGCCGAAAAACAAAAAACTACAGCATTGCCAACGTGGACGTAAAGTCAATATTTTAAATATCTTTCCTTTGTTTAAACATGGGGGAAAGGTTTGTTTGCATAAAAGAAGACAGGGAATAAGCCAAGAAATATAACGACAATGCAATTGGAACTTGAAAAAAGGGATGTGCATGGCACTTGTTGGGCCCATTCTGATTGAGCTATCTTTCTTTATCAACTGTTTTCTTTAAAAGCATCCCAATAACTTTATCATCGTAGAAATTAATGGTCCCCGAAGGCTAGAGAATGGTCTAGTTGGGCCTGGGAAGCTAACGGCATTTACCAAGAGCGCAGAAACAGGACAAACATTAAAAGAGCAGATAACGCGCATGAAAGAACTTTGCAAGCGCATGGAGAAAGAAAGAATGGAAGCGGAAAATAAACTCGTGTATTCTCCTGTACTAGTTCCCCTGTATTTGAAAGTTAAAAAGGTATAAATAATCGGCAATAGAAACAGGTTTTTATCGCATTCCTACAATTTTAAGGAAGTAAGGGAGTGGAGCGCTTATTTGACATTTTGGCTCAGGGAGTGGGCGTTCATTTGGAGGATGGCTAATTCGAGCCTAGACGGAAATACGGTATTTCAGGAAATAAAACTGAGCACAAAAACACCATTTCTCTTCATGGATGACGCCAGGTTGACAATGACTTTTGTAGTGACAATAATGTATTTATTCTACAAAAAGGCAATTAAAGAGCAAGCTTATATCTCCAATACCACTAAAATATCTTTTGAAATTTGTATAAGCTCATTTATGCTTCAAAAACTATATAATAAATGAAACTGATGCTAGTAAACAAGATCAACCCAGTGTAAACGAAAAGCATGATCTCAAACAGTATCTGTGGATTGTACTTGTACTCTATGAATTACTGAGTGGAAATTTACCACCAGAAGTCTGAAACCCCTTAACCTAGAATACCAGATTACAATAGGTGCGTTTGCGGAGTTTTTGAGAGCTCTTTAGTTTCCTAGCTTGCTATCGTAGCTAACCTCGAACTTGCAGCTCGGAGGAGGTTATTAAAGTACAGTAGTACTCCGCTAACTCGACTCAGTTAACTTGAACCCCTTAGTAACTTGAACAAGATGCGATTTCCTTTAACCCATTCTTTCAGTCATGGACTATTAGCTAACTGGAACCCCCGTTAGTTCGAACCTTTTTTGTTCCCCTCGGAACATCAAGGTGGCATGGTTCTACCTTAATTTTAAATCTATAGGTTTCCCAAGCCCAACATCTGTTTTTGGTGAGAAGTGTTCAATTTTATACCAAAATTCTAGAACTAACGATTCAAATTTGAGAAAGAAACGTCTCGTAAATTTTCTACAATACTGTAATGTTCTATGTACGCCTTAAGGACCTACATTATTTAAGCGAAATGAGAGTGAATCGGCCATACTGTTGCAAGAGGCGTGCTTTGATTAAAGTTATATTCAGAGTCAATCCTATTGTTTTGTTGGACCCCAAACAGCAAAGATACTGAATATTAAATCCCAAAAGGTTTGCTCTCTTGTGCTAGACGCAGTAAATATACTATGTAGTGAGACGCAATCAATTCCAAGTTAGCTAACATGGTAAACTCTGGAAGAGATTACTTTACATGAAATGATTTGATTAACTTTCCATCAAATGTTGTTTTAAACCTAAGTTTTCAAGAGGAAGCAGGACATAAAATACCGAAGGCCATTTCACCTCTTCTACAAAATTTTAAGATGTGGTAATACTTGATTTGTCAAACTACCCAAAACATAAAATTATGTGCTTTACTAATGAATATCAATATGACTACTGTTTTAAACGGTTAACAATTTTACAGCAAATACAGCTTCTACCATGTCATAAAATGCCTTCAAATCAGAATAAACACAAAATTCCAAGTTGTAAACTCGGTGACTGGTCACGACAGAGGCAATGTGTCCCAGGTTACCACTCTCATAACCTTGAACTCTTCGCTTGCGCCAGGCATACTTCAAGGCATTAGAGACCAGCCTTCCAGGCTGTACCATGCGAAGTTCTGAAAAGAATAATTCCAGGTAACTATAATGATAATGAGTTCAAGGAAATGGTAAAGATATATCAAGTGGCGAATAATATTTTTGTCCTATAAAAGGTACATTAGATGTGTAGGCAATGTTGTTTTGAACGTGCAGATGCATACTACAGTTGAAACAATAACTGCAAGGATAAACGTCAGAAGTATTAAAATGTGGGTCTTCTTAGCACACAGCTAAGCTGGCGAGAGGATAGAACTAAGGTAACTTATCTTCCAACTAGGCTTTTATTATGATACATAAATAGAAATACAGAAAGAAAAAATTGGATCAATATCAGTATCTGGGCAACTGCCCACCTACCCCTCCTCTAACCCAACATTAACCTTAACTTGTTGTCAATTGACTGTTGTTGAGTTAGGGGAGGGGTAGGTGGGCAGTTGCCCAGATACTGATAATGATCTGAAAAAATTATGAACAGTTAAGTTACCTCTCAGGTCTATGTTCTTTTTTACTTTCTTGGTCTCATTTGCTTCTCCTTCGTCAGAAGTTGATCTCAATTCAAGTTTACAAACATCTTCATGAAAAAATAGTTCACCGTAATGCGGCATTTTGTTTCCTAAATCGAAATAAAGTTATGGGGCATTAGGTTCAAACAAAAATACTTTTATCTTCTTTGGGACACCAGCAGGGCTAGGGACCAGAGGCTAGATTTAAGTATAAGTGTATCATGTTTACAGCGTTTAGTGAAAGTAAGAAAAATATAATTATTGGCTGTCTCGGTTGAAATGCGCGTAAAATGTGTGTTAGCACTCAAAATATTTGCAAAGAGTACCTCTAGATTGAAAGTTGTAAGACAACTCAAAACAGTCACCAAAGGCAAAAACAAAAACAAAAATTAAAATATAATGAACCTAAAAAATTTGGATAGACACCTATTGACGACCTCATACGCTGGAAACTGCAAGAAACATTTGAATTTGGTGCACTTTGCAACTGATTGGTTGAGAGTGTGATTCAAATTTTCTACTTTTAGAGAACTCACAGATGATAGTGAAACAAAAGGGTTGGACTAAAAAATTCCCTTATGGAAGAGGTTTTTCTCCTCTATAAAAGTCCTGTATCCCAATAAAATAAAAGTCAATAAACTTCTTCTTAATTTTCGTTGTTAAAGAAAACAAATTACCTCTCTTTGAATGAAGGAACACGTTTACGCCTCTAGAAAGTTTTCCTACAGCACGTCTTTGAATAAACATTCTCGGCGGAGTGGGGAATTCTGGGAATAACATGCGGAAGGTAAATGCAAGGGCTGTTGCTAGGATACCGCCTGTTACTTTGGCTTGAGGTAGCTCACTTAAGGAGTAATGATCACCAGGACAAACAAGGTGGGTTGTGCCTCCATCAACCAAGTCTCCCCAAATGTCCTCGACACGGTGTGATATGGCACTTATGGGTGAAGAGGAACTTTTCTGGCATTTAAGGAATGTGAGAGGACCTCGATAACGAACCTAATAAAGATAAAGTGGTAAAAAATACATTTTGCGTTGAGAATGTTCCCTTTTGAGTGATGATTTTCAATAGCTTCCCACATGTCCTCATGTAAAATATTCCATTGAGAGTCGGGAATTTGTTCACTGGAGCGATAATTTTTTTCCTTCAGTGCAGTCGGGTGTGTCAGTCAAAATCTAGATCAAAGCCTAATTGCGTCATTCGTATGTAAGTGGGAAAAAGCAGGCAATTCATCTCTTTAAACAATTCTTAGGGCAGAGTAAGGAAATATTATCGATTATAGACCTTAAACTAGAGCTCCTGAATACAAGGTGCCGGTTTATAGGTTCATAAAACTGCAAATGTAAGTTTCATTTCCGAAGAATGATATCATTAAGTGAAAATGCTATTTACCTCAGCAGGCTGCCATTCGTGGTGTGTTCGATTGGCAATAGTTTGATTTGTGAAAAGGGCCTCTCTGAGGGTTCTTAGATTGTAGGAAGTAAGCCCCTTTGTAATGCTTCTGTTCTGCAGTTCATCAATTATCCAGTCTTGAGTGTGTGCCTCCCTCAGTTGTCTGTATTCGCTAACGTCCATCTTAAGGGAACCTAGGGCCAGCTTCTCTAGGTAGCTTTCAAACTGGAGCTAAACAGAGGTAAAAAACATTTAATGAACTACAAGAGAAAACATTGGACAGTGTGAATAACAATGTGAAGCCACTTAAGGGCTCTAAATCACTAGGAAAGCGTGGATATTGGATCGTTATTGACGATTCTTTAAAAGTCGTCAGAAACTTGTCTTTCGTTTAAAACCCTTTAAGGTTCATAAACCAATCATCCCTTGGTCCCTGCTTGACTGTTCAATTTTAATTGGCTATTAAAATGGCCACCTAAGAAATCTCTAGACTGTATAACGGACTCATGTTCTACTTCAGCCAGTCTGCTTCCCTCTCTGAGTACAAATTAACGCTTTTTTATGTCTAAAATGATTTGAGTTTGAAGGTCTACTGTATTAATACTCAGGTTCGAAAGTAATATTTTTAGTTTTTTCAAGACGTAAAATCCTGATTCCTTAAATAAACAGCGCTTCAACTCTAAGACCATAGACGAGATTATCCAAAGGGATCACCCGTACATACACTCGCTTGATGAGGCATTTGTGTTACATTACATTCATAAACTTCAAAGACAGCAACCCCAAAATGATAAGCATTTCATCTCAAAGCTTTGTCTATCAAATTGGCTGTTAGCGGGGTGTACACTTTTAACAATAACTGAAAATTTTGCATTTTGTCAAACCTGAACTTGTTGAGATAACATCAAATCAACTCTTTGGGGAGTAAACAGCCTAGAGGCTACAGTCTGTGAACGCGATGACCAAGGGATTGTGTCAATCATAGCAACAAACTCCACACTCTGATTCTGTTCTATCAACAGGGAAGCCATTTCGTACGCCAGAAGTCCTCCATATGAATATCCGCCTAAAAAGTATGGTCCGTGGCGTTGCTCCTTCATGATCAACTGCACATAATGTGTGGCAAGCTCTCGTACACTTCCCCAGTCTTCACTGATGACTGTGGGGTCGGTAAAGCCCAGGGCATAGAAGGATATCAAATCCTGATAAGGAAAAATGAAAGATACGGCCATACGTTGAAAGACTTTTACAAATGATAGCTCGGACCAGCTCTCTTTGGATAAAAACTACTTGGAGGTCAAGACGGCCTGTAGAACATATCAGCTAGAGTCTATTCCGTTAGAAATCACTTTGGCAAATCAGGAAAATGGTAATAGTCCTATAGATATGTATGTGGACTTACTAACACTGACTTTAGCGATAAATAACATGATTGAATTGTCAGGGATTACCTGTCCTTGAAATCCAGTGGATATAGGCACCAAACTTAACACATAGCGGTGTGAGGGATGGACACAGAAGAATTTTATTGCTGAGCCCTCAGGAGAGTACAGGGGTAGGACTTGCACTTCAGGCTCTGATGAGATGGTTGTGGGAGATGATTGTTCTGATGATTGAGTGTCTGTGGGTCCATTTTCTTGAGTCTCACTATTGAGGCTGGCTGCTTTTCCAAGAAGCTTGGCATTAACTTCCCTGGCCAATTTTGATACAGTGGTATCAGGCTGCATAAAGTATAGAATCTGAAAAATAAAAGAAGAAGGTTGAAACCTATAGGATTTATTTTTTAACATCTCAGTCAGTACTCATACATTTCCATCTTAATGAAGAAATGCGTAATGTGGCCTCCAGGTTACAATTTATTAAAAGTATTTTAAAACTGTTCACTTTTGACTACCAATAACATGTTGAAAAATGATCACGCAAAACATTTATGAGCCGAGACTTCAACCATAATTTTTCCAAATACTCTTTGTAACTGACTTGAATGATCATAATAGCGCCAAATAATGAGCTCGGCATCTATTGGTTTGTTTGATTTTGTAGATGGTGGGGCGATTTTGATCCACTTGAATCATAATGGAAAGCTATTGAGTTCAAATACAAGTGGAACACAATTACCTTATTATAGAACTAAAAACATTTTAAAATGGTTTTAAGGGTTAGACCGCTCTTTATTCAATGGGAGTTTTATATCTTACCATCAAAAGAAAAATATCTCAATTAAATAATGTTTAATTCATTACGTAACGAACTTACCTCAAAAGTAGCCTGTAAATTGGATTCAAGTAACATTTTAAGGGTCAGAGCTCCAGTTGAGTCAATACCCTGGCTGTACAAGCTTTTGTTTAGATCCATTTCTGAAGAAAACGAATGTCCTGACAAGTCTGACATGACCATGCAAATATACTCCAAGACAAGTTTGCCTTTTGCTTCTGGATTCCCTTCCATCTGAATCCTTTGCAGCAAAGAATCGGTTGTGTTTGTCTGGCCATCAGAAATGCTCATTCCTCCAGTGATCAGTGAAAATCGGAGACTCTTTCGAATTCCAGTGTTACTTTTCATGAATCGAAACCAGTCAACACCAAATAGGGAGATTTGAGAACGACTCGGCTCCTGGGCTAAAACTTTGGCCATGAATTTGACGCCTGAAAAGTAATTACAAAATGGCCTGTGAAACGTTATTGTGATGAACAGCTTGACTGTGCACAAGTATCATGAATATGCAACCTGAATCCCGGAATACAAAGGAAGCAGAGAAGGTTTTGTTTTAGAAAACTTCAAGTTGGCAAAGATAACCTCTGCGCTGATGCTTTCGGCTCAATAGACTTTTCAAAGATAATGGAACTATTTCATGTGCACTCATTGCAGTTAGTTTTGTTGCCTCTTTGAACTATTTAACATTCAGATAGAAGTATTTAGTAAGTATTGACCTTAAAATTTTAGTATCTTTGTGAACTATACTTTACCATCTTTAGCGTTTATGAAGCCCAGTCCTGTTGCTGCCATGTGTTTAGCCAACGCCATATTACGTGCTAACACACCGGCCCCTCCTATAGGTCCCCAGTTTATCGAAAGACCGGGTAGACCAAGCACCTGCCTCCGGTAATGGGCGAGAGAATCTTGGAAAGCATTGCAGCCTGAATATGAGGATGATCCTATGTTTCCAACGACTGATGCCATAGAAGAAAACATAACGAAGAAATCCAGATCCATTTCCAAGCTCAGTTGATGTAGTAAAAAGGAACCTAAAATATATCTCACAGTCATTATTTCGGCTAAATTTAAAGTGAAGACGCAAATTTGTGAAGCTCAGGTGTTGTGTGTGCTCTAGATCAATATACGATATAGTTTGGTCAATTTCGAGATGTTCAAGCACTTTTCAGTTTTAAAGTAGAGTTAGTTGTAAAATATTTTGGCCAAAGTTTTGTCAATTCAATCTAACTGACATTATTGTAATCTATATAAAAAGTATACACTCCCGCAATCAAAGCCTTCTTATTATATGTTAAGGAAAATAAAACTTCATATGAATGGGTACAACGTTGGGAGCATTACTCAGTTTTACAGTTTTGTAAACGTTCTCCAATATTTTGAGAACAATAAAAATTAAGATTTCAAACTTCCTGACACTAGATTATTACAGTAACCTTGAATTTTAGGTCCCATGACGTTTTTGAAGCCTTCAAATGTCCAATCTTTAATTAAGGCATCGTTAAGAACCATAGCAGATTGCACTATTCCTGCTACACTTGGAAGAGATTCAAGCTGCACTTTCAACGACCTCATGGGCTCTTGTTTTGAGATGTCAATCTAAAAGAAGCAAGGATAATATAATTTTTAATTCATTAACCTCTCAATGTGCTTCAAATCCGAAACAGTTTTTCAGAAATCCTTCAGAAGCAACCTGGCTTCACCTACTCGGGAAATTTCAATCTTGTCAGCTTGTCATTCTTTCAGCATGAAAAGTGTCTTCGTAGCACGCCTTGTACCAGATGAGAAATTCTGTCTATTTAAGGAGGCTCCATAGGGTTTTTTCTCAATGTTGGCACGAGTTTGTTTTGTTGTTTTCGCTTTTCTTGGTCACTAAAAGCCATCAAAAGGGTAATGAGCAAGGTTCGGACTATCTTTTTCTGTAATCAATATTAGCAAAGAGATTTTCGTTATTAAGCTAAGGCTCCACGAAGGGAGACACTCGCCGGTGATAATTTGGCTTTGCCCCTGTTCCTTTTCAATTTGTATCGGTGAAATCTCTCAAAATTTTCACAATTAGTAAAATTTGTACTGCCGATTATTTAAAAGCTGAAAAAATAGGGGTTGCAGAGGCAGTTTCCTCGCTATTTGGCATTTTGTGTTCTCTTCGCCTATCTAAAATTTGGTCTTGTGAAATTTTTTTATTTGTTAGAGGGTCCAGTAAATCTTAGGAAATTCCACCGAGGGAAACGCGATAAATCTCGTTCGAAAGATCCTTATTTTCTATGTCGCAAAATATTACGTAACGGAATAGAACTTCACCACGATCTCTATATGAGCATGTGTAAACTTTCGAATTTGTCGCGATCTGTCGCCTTTTGGCAACCTTTCCCACGGTGTTCTCTATTCGGTTGACCTCTTTTTCAGGCGTAGAAGGCCTATGAATATTACGTGTGCAGTCGCTGGAAACCCGAGACTCCATAACATAAAAGCTGTATTGTGTTAAACTGTTTTGAACACACCTTTCCAGATAACAATCGTGCGATCGTATTGAGCCGCCATGTTTATTTTATATAGCTCGCGCTTTGTTCCTGCCTAGATCTCGCGGTCAAAAAGACCTTTGGGGCTTCCTTAAAGGTGATGCATTAAATTACCTGGAAAATATGGAACTGCACGCCTGTCTTCCTTTCGATATCTCTTAGTTTTTGGTTTTCTGCATCTGAGGGCTTGGAACGACCAATAAGCCCAATAGACTTGGCCCCGTTTCCAGCCATCCAACAGGCCACTTCAAATCCAAATCCTCTGATCCCTCCTGCTACCAAATACGTTCTGTTTTCTTTGAGGCCACACTCATCCAGACCACGTGGAAGAACGGGAATCTTTTGCAGAGTAGAACCTGCTTCAGACGGTGCAAATGAGTAAATGTGAAAGGAAATACCTGGGGATGATGTTGTTAAACGTTTCGAAGATGATTCGTTGAGCCTGGTTTCGTTTGCAGCTTCAACTGCTGTTGGTACTTCTGTGGATATCAAGTTGATTTCCAGAAGCTTTTCAAGAAGTCCTCCATCTTTTAGGACTGTTAGACTTTCTGAGCTAAGCTTTTGGTAAGTCTGCGGTGATCGAAGGATGTCTGAAATGTTCTCTCTTTCATACACAACGTTTTTATTTGCAGGAAGTACGACATCACCACTGAATTCAGGGCACAAAATGACAACTTTTCCCCCGCGTTTGAGAGCCCGACTACTTTTCTGAAGAGTGTTTGGAGGAGGTGGGTGGAAAAAGATAATTGCATCGAGAGGGTTATTGAAATGATCTTCAAAACTGGTGAATCTCTGATGTACCACACTCTCTGCTCCCAACTCTAGGAGAGCGGATTTAGTTGATGATTGGCAAGTGTCAGATATGGTGCAGAATACTCTGTGACCCAATGTCTTTGCAAGGGCAACTGATGCAGGTCCAGGGCTAAGTTGAGCTTGATGTATCAGTAACGTCTTACTTTCTTCCGTTGTTGCCACCCGTTGTAAGGCATAAAAGGCTATAGCTAGAGAAGCAGGGATGCATGTCGCTTGTTCTTGAGTTAGACAGGCAGGCTTAGAGAACACGTTGTTTGCTTTAATGGGAAGAGAACGAGAAACACGTCCGGAGGTCATAACACCACACACCACATCGCCAATCTGCAACTTTGCAATTTCAGTTCCCTTCGGTAGAGCAACCACCTTTCCAACAGTAAAGACACAAGCATTTGGTTTGGCTGCATCAACTATAGACTCAGAGGGTGTCCAGAAATGAAACAGTTCCATTGTGATCTCAGAGAGCAGTGGTTTAGAAACACTGTTTTGGCGCAGGCAGATCTTCTGTGAGGCAGGGATATTCGACAGGTAAAGAGAGGACTCCTTTTTTCTGAAATTTTTGTCGCTTGTAGGTTGCTCTGAGGAAATTTTTGATCTCACAAGGCGATTTATGAAACGTTTTCCATCTCGGAAGGCCACCTCATCCTCCTCACCATCACCTAGGATCTCAGAAAGCAAACAATCCACCTCATCTAGGTCATTCTTGTCACCAAGATCAATTGTTGTAATCTTCAAATCAGGTTCTTCGAGCTTCGCTGTTCGTCTTAGACCCCAGACTGTTGACGCCCACGGAATGAAATTACTCTGTGGAGATCTGATGGAGGTATCTAACCGTTGCGTACTTTCAGTAACCAGCAGCAGTTGACAGTTAAGCCACCCTTTGTTAACGAGCTGCTGGATCAAAAATACTGAGCTGCTGAAGGCAAGGTTTTGCACTCGTTCGATAACATCGAAGTTGCTCGGTATTAGAGTGGTTTCTACTGGCCACATATTAACCACTTTAAAGCTGAATGAATCGTTTGGGGGTGTGTCAAGGAAGGCCGTGCTGATTGCCTCTACTGCTTTAGCGTCAAAACAAAAACTCTTTGGTGGATCAACGGTAATTACTTTTACCTTCGAGTCGTGAAGTTTTGTGATTAAGGCGTTTGAGAACAAAGAGCTGTCCCTTAGTAGGATACAAGTCAAATCTGGCGTCATTCGTTTGTGTTCTTGCACATCCGCTTCCTCCCACAGCATGTCATATGCAAGATCCTCATCGGAAGTAAACTGCCGTGGTAATTGCCTCATTTCCACGACTCGAAACCCGCTCATGGTCAGTAAAACTTTGCCTGATGGACTCATTAACGTGATGTTGTACCTTCCAATATAACTGAGATCTTCAGAGACGTGACAATACAGCTGATTGGTGGATGGAACGTCACTTAAAGTGATGCTCTTCAGTCCGAATGGAAGTGGAGCAACGGCTAAATCATCAATCTGTCGGTTCACACGTGAAAGCAAGCAGGATTGAAGACAGGCGTCTAAAATGGAAGGGTGTACGATAAAATCTTTACTTTCTGCCTGAACCAGGGGTGAATCACCAATATCAACCAGAGCAAGTCCATTATTGTCGCAGTACCAGGTTTTTTCGATTAACGAGAAAGATTTTCCGAAGTCAAAGCCATACTTCTGGGTTAATTGTTTCAATCGTTCAATGGGCACTTCTGTCATACTTCTGATCAAATCATTTAAGGCTGGGCCAACTTCATCGCAGCCTGCCGGAAAAAAATAAGGAAATATCTTTGTAAGTGTTAAATTATTAAATAATTGTGGCTTTCAAAACAACTTTTATAAAATTTAGAGGTATACAAATAAACAGAGAACAGGGGCAGGTATTACAATGTTACAATACCTTTTCCCTCACAGCTTTCTTTACTGTGCAAGAGATCTACAGAGATATTTCCACTGCTTAAACTGATTTCAGACTGATTTTCCTGCAAACAAGTGATGTGAAACTGGGCCTCGTCAATTCTTTCGGACTTTACCAGGCGTAGTCGTAAGGATCTAACCTAAATTAAAAAGGATTATAAACAGTCAGAAATTCAACTGTAGCTTCACTGTATTTTTTATTTAGCATTTACTCACCTTTGTTTCTGGCAAGGTAAGAATACTCAAAAACTTTACATCTTTTAGTTCAATGCCAGAGCCATAATTGAACGTTTCCTTTGCCATTGCGAATGCCATCTCCAGGTAAGCAGCTCCGGGCAGCACTGTACCTCCCTCAAGAAGAACATGGTCCTTTAGACTCTGAAATTTCTGTAGGTCAATCTCCGTCTCCCAGCAGTGTACACCTGAAAATGGGTCTGTCTTTTTTACCTCTGAAAGAAACGGATGCGGTTTCTTCTTTATGGTTTCCTCAGAACCAAGACGGTGCACTACAGTTTCCAATGGGCCATCCCTGAACCAAAAGCTGCTTTCCAGCCATGGGGAATTTGGGGGCCGAACAAATCTAGCTGACTGGTTCCTCTGCATCTGAGTCCAATCTACTGGAAATCCTGCCGCGTACAATATGCATATTGTGTTCTGAAGAAAGCATCTGTGTTGATCCTTGATGGGTACCCTCTTACGCGGAAGAGTTGCCACGACAATGGGCCTTTCTTTAACTGTGAGATTTTCTTGAAGAGCAATCTGTTTGACATAGTGGGCTAGAATTGGTTGGGTACTGATCTCAACAATTTGTCTGTAGCCATCTCTTAAAAGCTGTTTCATCGCTGGATAGAATTGGACTGGACATCGAATGTTTCGCCACCAATAATCATTGTTTAAGTGCTGACTCGAAATCACTTCTCCCTCAACAGTAGAGTACATTGGAACTTTCGACAGTTTAAGGTTCAGATGCATGGCTTCAACAGCTCCTTGAAAAGGTTTCTTGATGGGTTCCATATGCAGGCTGTGAAATGCATGATTTGTTCCAAGAACACGCCAGAAAGTATCCTTTGCGTGGGTCGATAGATGTTCTCCCAGTGCTTTAATCGATTGTGATTCACCAGATACTGTGACACTATTAGCATCATTAATTGCTGCTATGTCGAGAGAGGGGCTTAATTTAAGGGTAAGTAGTAATTCTTCGGCCTTGACCTCGGACATGCCTAAAGCAGCCATACTTCCATTGTTGGCACATCTATCTTGAAGAGTTGAGCGAGCCAGTACTAGCTTAACAGCTTCCTTGACAGTTATGATTCCAGCAACGCAAGCAGCTGCAAACTCTCCTAAACTGTGACCAATAACAGCTGACGGATGAATTTTCCAGGATTTCAGCAGCTGCGCAGTTGCGTACTGGATAGCAAAGGTGGCCAGCTGAGCGATACAGTTTTCCGCTATTCTGGAAACGTCTTCAGGGGCCATCAACTCATCTATAAGTGACCATGTCACTCCCAAGTCTCTCAGAAAGTTGCTAACTGTCAAGACAGCTTCTTTGAAAACAGCTTCATATTCCATTAACTGTCTTCCCATGGCATACCATTGCGATCCCTGGCCTCCAAACATGAAAACAAGTTTTCTGTCACTTGAGGTCACTTGGGCATAGGAAGCAAACTTATCCCAACCCACCGAGTCATTGGCGAAGGCCTCCAGTGACTTTGCTGCTTCGGAAATGGATCCGAAGGCAATTGCCAAGCGATGCGGGTTCTGAGTTCGGCGTTCATTTAAAGAGTAGCATAAGTTTTCAACAAAATGCTCATCCATTTCTCCAGCGTTGGCCTTAATCCACTCAGAGTAAAGGTGTGACATCTCCTTGAGAGCATCTTTAGAGCGCGCTGTGATCGTGAGAATTCTATTACGACGTGTCAAGTTTTCAACTTTTAGGTTTGGCGTTGATGTAACCTCGCGGAGTATAACATGAACATTTGAGCCACCAAATCCAAATGAGTTTACAGCTGCTATTCGCGACTTTCCATTCTCTTTGCTCCAAGGCTCAAGAGTTTGTTGCAAAACTAGCCCCTTCTCTTCTAGCTTTAGTTTGGGATTCAAAACTTGAACGTTGACAGTTGGTACAAACGTCTTCTTTTTTATCATCAGAGCAGCCTTAGTTAGCCCAGCAAGTCCAGAAGTGCTTTCTGTGTGATTGATATTGGATTTTACTGAACCGATTCTTAACTTCTGTACGGATTGTGTGGCTCTACTAGTGTAGGTCTCCGCTATCGAGGTGACCTCCACTAAGTCACCGACTGCAGTACCAGTCCCATGTGCCTCAAGGTAATCCACGTCTTCTGCAGTCACTCCTGATTGTTCCAGCACCCACCTTGATAGTTGAACTTGCATCTCGGTACTTGGAGCGGTCATTGGCACAGCATTTTGTCCATCACTGTTCATTCCACATGCAATAATTTCGCAATATGGATCGTCTTTGTCACACAAAGCATCTCTTGTCATTTTTAAAACTACCGCTGCAAAGCCTTCTCCTCGTCCATAACCGTCCCCAGTAGCATCAAAGCTTTTACTACGCCCATCGGGCGCGAGTAGTCCAGCCATACCTGTTATCATCTGCATATGATGACAGAGAATGAGATTAGGTGCACAAACGATGGCTACGTCGCAATCATCATTGTCCAGGTTATCACAGGCTATCTTTAGAGCAGTAAGCGACGAAGAGCACGCTGTGTCCACAACAAGACTTGGACCCGTTAGGTTAAGGCAAAATGACACTCTGTTAGCCAGAATACTGGCCGTTGTTCCTGTCGCGGAAAACTGATCAATATTACCACTATTTGATTGTTCTCTTAAAAGACTACCGTAGTCAAGATTCATAGCACCAACAAAAACACCTGTTCTACACCTCTGTAGGTCTTCAAGTCGCATTCCTGCATCTTCGATTGCCTCATACACCACTTGTAGGATAATTCTTTGTTGAGGATCCATTCCACGAGCCTCTTGGCTGGAGATACCAAAGAATCTGTTGTCAAAACTTCGAATTTCTTCCAAGAAAGAACCGTTGATAGTACATAGGCGTTTTTTAACAAAACGGTTGGGATTGTAATGCTCGACGAATCTTCTATACTGCTCTGTTCTATTCTCGGGAACTGTACTGATTGAACTTTTTCCTTGCTTTAGAAGAATCCAAAATTGGTCTACACTGCCAGCACCGGGGAATTTACAACTGATGCCAACAATAGAAATTCCTGGACGTCTAGACAAGAACTTCCCTATGTTGCCACCTCGTGTTTCCTCTAGGGACAAGTCTTGAAGTTCCTGGCTATTTGTTTCCTCTTCTTCGTCACCACTGAAATGAAAACTGTGCACAAATTCCTCATATGATATGATGACTGCTGGGAGTATTATGAGAGCGTGGATCAAGCCCAAAATTAAGACCATAGGGTGGGTCAGATGGAAAATGTCTGCCAAGTTTGGAAGAATAAACCCTAATGAGACAGAGGCGGCCATGGATATTAACGTACCAATCAGCACTGGCAATCCAACAGAACGCAGGGCGTCAATCATGCGCTCCCGTATTTCTTGCTTACCTGAAAACAAGAACGAATGGCCCACTTCAAAACTGAAGTTTAAGGATATGATGATCGGTGCAAAAAGAGACGGAAAGGCAATTTGATTCACGTAACTTCCCATTGCTCTCAAAATAGCTGCTGCTTCCATTACAAAGAGGTCGAATGTCAGAGCCAAAAAGATACTGATACTGCAATGAACGGTAGCAAGAAAAGAAATTGTAAACACTACCACTGTACCAGCAACGAACAAAATTATAACTGATTCTTTTTCGAACTTAGAGAGATCATCAAGGTCGAAAAATTCCTCAGAGACCGGGGTGGCTTTTAGGGGAAACTTTTCAAGTAAGTCGCCTCTCAGTTTCTTAAGGAATTCTTTATCCTTTTGAAATCTGTTGTCGAGTGACATCCTTAGATGAATTCGAGACGCTGAAATTTTGACACCAGAAGTTGAAACTTCCAAAACGAGATCTTGTCGAAATGGCAAACTGTGAGAATCATTAAGGAAATGTTTCAAACACTGGTAGAATTTTGAGTGCGAACAGCTCATGTTTTCATTTTGTATCCACTTTCGTAAGACTGCCATCCAACAGAGTGGATTTCCTTCACCATAGGTGGCCTCTTCCAATTTCGCACAAACTGATATTATATGATTTTGCACAGTTTCAAATGAATAGTCAATGTCCTCGGAGAAAACGATGCTTATATCAGTTTCATCATGGAAGAAAATCTTTCGTGCCCCACTGAACTGTTTGAAGTTGTTATTCTGATAGCGGGACTCTATGGTACGAACTCTTTCTCCGGGTAAGAATATGGGCAAAACACACAGAGCGATGGTTATGAAAAGTAGTACAAGCGAGACAATTTTGCCGCCATGTGATGTTATGTTCTCTAGCAATCCCTTAAGAATTCGTTGCAGTTTTGTTTCATGGCGTTGTAGGCGTCCTTGAGGGACACTTTCAACTTCATTAATGAGACATTTCATTTTGCACTGCGGAAGAGGAAGGGTGTTGGATGTCTTTGACGCCATTTCAAAGTGCATCTGCAAAATGATTGTTATTATAAAAGTAAAAGCAGAAATGATTACATAAAAGATAAGTATTGTCACGAAAAAATTGCGAATCCCCTCGAAAGAAGATTTGATTGCAATTCCAGAAAGAAGCGTTCCACAAAGGGCTGTCATCGTAGCTAGGACCCCTGTTCTAGCAACACAATTACTGACGCGATGTTGAAGTGATGACACCTTTTTCTGCCTTTCCCACTCCACTAGGAAAAGTACGACGTCAGAGGTTGCTTTCCCTAACAACAAGAAGGGAATACATAGGGTAGTTGAGGATAAGGGAGTGATTGTCATGGAGACAGAACCAACAGAACTTGATATTGGTAAAATAATCGAAGACAACATGAGGAACGCTGTTGATGGACAAGTGGCGTTAGTAAGAAAAAAGTATATGGCGAGGAATACAAGGACAGACAGTGCGAACACTGAAATAAAAAGAGGCTTCATCTCCGGTTTAAAGACATCTTGCAAGGCATCCATTGATGCTCTTTCAGTCTTGTAGGATAGCTTTGCACATTTCAGGCGCGGACCCATCGAAGAGAGGAGACTGTCAAAGGAGGATTCGAAACTCGAAATTTCTTCGTCGTCTTCTTTACTACTTGACTTTTTCATGAAGTAAATAGCACGAAGAGCGTCGGCATGAGCTGTCAGTGGATCTCTATTTCGCTCTATTTGAAAATTAGCCAACATTTGCCCGTGAAAAGATTTGAATGTTTGACCAGAAGAGAGAAGAATTGTAGGGTTGGTCAATTCACGCATCAGAATGGTTGAAAGGTTGTTTAAATGTTGGAAGTAAGTTCCGGCCAGTTCAAGAGGACTGCTGACCATGCATCTGTGCCCAGCATTTTTTTGTAGAATGCTTGGAAACTGTTGCCTGAAACATAGTTTGGTGTAGCCGCTAATATTTATTATGGCTTTGTGCACCATAAGGGCGTCTCGCAAGCATTCCTCGCTCAAAAAATTTTTTTTGTGTTTAGGAGTCATAATAACTTGTTCTTGACGCGCTTCAAGCGTTGGAAAGAATCGGGCAGCAACATGCAAGTCTTGCCTGGATTGGCTGTCACTGGTAGTGAAAGACTCAACGTTAGGCTGCTCGATACGAAGGCGAATAAATCCGAACCAGCTACCCATAGCAAAAAGGAAGAAGAACAGAAGAAAAACCACTGATCTCCGAGAAATAACGATCCCAAATTTTTCGAAGGCTCTTTGGTACCAAACACCAATGGGTAGAGATTTGTTCTTGCGCCCCATGCTGATAGCCCCACGCCCAAGTTTCTTACGTTTCGGGTGAAGCCGGCTAGACCTACACGAAAGAACGTCAACAATCAGTTTTAGTAAATTTATGGTTCATGAAATTAAAGGCATAACGTTGAGAAAATCATAATTTGTGAAGTGTATACACACTCGTAAAGTTAGGTAGTCAAATGAAAAGAAACGTCACCAATTAGTTTGTACAACTCCAAGACGATTGACACTTAATTGTGGTTTACTACTTCTACTATATACTACTACAACTTGTGGATGTAATGAGTTCAAGAAAATTACATGAAAGCTCCATTACTTTATAGTATTGTTTTTTTCTATGTTTAATCATCAAGTTTTTTCTTTCCTTTCTATCAACTACTTTACATGAACATGTAGCAAACAGTAGTCTGTATTGCCCTAGAGTATTATATTTCACTGGTATTTTTCTAATGGCATCAACGAGTGAAGCCATTCCATTTATGTTATTAGTGTATTGAATAGGGGACGTGTGTCTTTCATTATAAAGCAGGGGGAAATCCATATATTTTGATCTTTTTGTGGGTTTAAAGGTACAATTGATGCTGTACGAAGATATCAAAAACCCTGTGCATTCATTATTATGTATTATTTCATTCTCAAGAATTGACTTGCTTTGAAGTGAATCAGTTAATAGTCCTTCACTCTCAAACAAATTATCCAAATTTTCTTCAGTTTCACAAACATATACAGTTCTTGGAAGATTAGCTGGTGATTGTTGGTTGTGTTCTAAACTTGATTTACGACGCATCTTTTTGCCTTTGTCAACAATTGTAGCTAAGGATGAGTTGTAATTTCAGTAGTTAATGATTTCATTATAGAGTAGCAAAGAGGGTATAGAGCTACAGCACAACTTAGGTTAAAGTTTATGGTTTCATTCAGACTGTTTTGAGAAACCATCCTGTTTTGAATATTCTCAATTTTTACTCCTCTCACTTCAAATATATCATTGTTATGTATACTCTGAAAATAATGCCCTAAACTATCAAGAGACAGTACTTCGAGAAGAACACATGTACCTTGAGGCTGCCCTCTACCATACAAATCTCTAACATGAAAATCAAATATTTTGAACCAAATATCACTATTACAGTGATACACCCTACTGTTAATGGGAAATTGGTGTAGCTATCAAATATGAGCGACTCAAAGGCTCTTGGTAAAGATATGCAGAACTGATATCCCTCTATAGCAATTTCTTGGTGAACAGTACCAGAATAGCTTTCACTATATTCCAGTTGATAATCAGTATCAAACACATTTAATGGTGTTGGTAATTCTGACTGCATTAAATATGCCTGTCTGGCTAATCATGAAATACAGGGTTGAATAAAGCTGTACTTGAATAAAGCTGTACTTGAATAAAGCTGTACTTGAATAAAGCTGACTTCCAATATTCGTTATTTATATAAGATCATTTGCAGAGCTGATCCCTTGTGTGTCATTGTAAATCAAAGAACACAAACTCATTGCAACACATTGTTGTCCTGCATTCTGTCAAAAAACTAACTCGTTACCTTGACTATAGGAAGCTACTATCGTTTTGTTAGGGTCAACATATGTTGGAGGGCCAGGATTTTTTTCCGACTAAATTTATAGTTGCAATAATTTGCTACATGAGCTTCATTCTTGCAAGAACACATATGCATTGACGAATTCTTTCACGACAGTTAAACTTAAATGTCTTTTTATTTAATAGTTTTTTAGCGTTAACATAACAGTATAACGTAGATGACATGGGGATACATGGGAGAATACGTGCATAGACAAATTTTTCTAACCTTTCTGCTCTTGTTCCTTAACCTTTTCAAATTTCGTATTGGTATTCTGCTTGGTTCACGATCACGTCTACATACACGATAAGATTTGCGTCTATGCTTCTCTCGATTATCATTAGATAGCTCAGTTGATATGGCATGTTTCTCGATGAAAGGTTCACTCATAAAGAGGTATCTCATAAGGTTCACGGACCGACCCCTTCCAAAAAACGCTCGACTTCTTTTAGTGTGGGTCTACCGCGAACGATGTGACCATACTTTGTATGCGTTTTGAGCGTCTTATACACATTGTCTCTGCTAATTTTGCGCCGCGAAAGTTTTCCTTCGTCCGCCATTACACCATCCTGTGTGCTCATTGGTCAAAAATTCGCGCATGCGTCAGGCTCAAAAGGTTGCGAATGCGTGATGAGGACTTGACTGCGGTTTGCGACCGAACGAAAAAAAAAAACCAAGCCGGAATTTCAACTCGGTCGTTTCCCTTGGAAAGCCCGAGTAAAAAAAGAAAGAATCGATTTATTCACTGTTTTGTTTAAATGTGCTCCCAGAGGTCTCTTTATTGAGACATTTATCATGGAAAAAGTAACGTGCTGGTATCACACAGACCACAACCCAAACAGTGGAGTACTTCCTACAGATAAATATTGTGTCACTGCTTTCGATAAATCAGGATTGAACAACAATACAACATACACGAAGCTTGCTTGCATGTGTAAAGACTTTGAATTTCGCAGCTGATGTTTTGAAATCCAAGCGTAATGATGCGTGATGAAGCAAAGGCATGAAATCTTCAGTCAAATAATCAACACCCTTTCAGCCACGCTGGAGGTGAAACAAAAGGAACATGATATTCACACCCTCTTGTGAGAGATTGATTTCAAGTGAATCTTGATTTCAAGGTTGTTTTTATGAATGCCTTAAAAATCAAGGTTGATTTCAAAATGCGCTAGTAAGCCTATTTTCCAACTACTAACCGCAAAACAGGACGTCTTTAGCTGAAGGCATTATGCGATGTCATGTCGTTGACATAGTATTGACATACTTAAGAGATTTTAGTCGATAAAGGTGCGGCTCGTTTCCGTTTCAGAGGCCTAGTAAGTGTTTGAGGCAACTGGGACAATTACAAGTAATCGTAAAGGCGCCCTTTTTTTATAGTTTAAAATCGACTACTGTAATCAACTCATAAATTTCACTCTCAAATGAAAAGGAGTTTTGAAGTCGGAGGCTCAAGATCTACTATTGCAAGAACATGCGAAAGTTACGCTCAGTACGTACTCGAAAGGCGAAATTAAGACAGTCAAACTTAAAATTAGTTATTCTGATCTTACCTTACGTCGGCAAACTAACGTCCACCGCAAGCTTAAATATGTCTATTCGACAGAAAAGAAACATTCCCTGCGAAGGATTTCGATATGAAATGTTTATTTTTCTCGGCTTAAACAATCCATAATGTGTCTTGGAGAACATAAGTCACTTTGCCTTAATACCAAATGTTCTCAGTTTTCGTTGGTAAGTTCAGTGGAAACATTGTCGTAAAATTTGGCTGTAAAAAAAACATGTTACCCATTTCTACACCCTCAGCTACTTGTTTATTTGGCGTTCGAAGACGGTGGGTAGATACTCTGCTTTCCAAAGCCAGCCGGATGACACTCTATACAATAGTCAAATTGATACTAAACGCAAAAATGCAGAGTAATTTTACTTCGCTCGCAAAAGCAACATCAAAAAGATTGAACGCGGAAAAAATGGCTGTTTTGAACAACAATTAAACAGTGTAGAGGAATAATGTACATATCGCCAGTCTACATTAGAAAGAAACGGTTGGAATTCTGAAAAAAAAGATGTGTAGAGTAAGTTTTGCTGTGAACTTAGTTAGGGAACTGATTTGGCCGCTACGATTTGCTATCGGACAAGGATTCTCGTGAAACAAAGTAATATCACCTGGTCAGCTCCTAATCTAACAATGATGCAGTTACTCAGATTAAAGAGGGGTGTTGCTGGTTTTACGGTTTAGTATGTAAAGTATACTTGGGTTCCTCCCACTCGTTCACTACAGAATACTGCAAGTCAGTGCAAATATAGCACTTACTTTTCCGATGTATTCCAAATGAAGATAGAAACTGTAATTTAATTTAATTGTCAATGCAGAAACTTCTCAGAAAATGCACGGAGTGTGTCCTAACAGAGTGATTGGCTTTATAAGCTTTAACCATTCTCAAGGTTTCAATTTTCTGCTCTCTCTGTCCAAATCGCCTTAGTCAATCAAATGTACAGAAGTGTACCTGGGTTTGGTTTCTCGGCTTGTTCAGCCCGATAGGTTCCTCCCATTCGTTCATTACTTACTGCGAGTCAGTGCAAATATAGCACTTACTTTTCTGATATATTCCAAATGATGGCACAAACTGGAAATATAACACTGTCAATGCGGAAGCTTCCTATAAAATGCGCGGGATTTGTCTTAAGGTGGTGATAAGCAATATGAGTTTTTTAACATTCTTGGCGTCTCGATTTTCTGCCACCTCCATAAATCGCCTTTTCCAGTCAACTGTGCGCGAAAAAAAAAAAAAAAGAGACTACTGGATTTAAAAGAAAGATCAAACATGGTCAGGGAACTGATCTGATCACTGTGGCTTGATGTCGGACATAGATTTCAACTTCCACAGTACCAAAAACAGATAGCTTATCACGTCATAAGGATGCATTAACTCAGATTAATAAAAAGTGATAAAATGTTTTCTTTTTATATCTGACGTTCCTATTTCCTGACTGTTGTCCTGTGAAAAAAACCGATCTTAGATAGAAATGTGAAAGGTAAAATGCGACTGTAAAGTTGATAACTTTTTCTCCTCCAGACTGTAGGTCAGTGCCAGCAAAATTACTTACTTTATCAATATATTCCACACATGTCGGAGGAAACTGCACGTGTACCTGATAGAACAGCAATGCTAATATGAACTGTCAACGCAGAAACTGGTTTGAACAGGCACGGACTTTGTACTCACGAAAAAAAAGTATTAAAAATTTTAACCACTCTTGAACTTGACCACATATATGCCTCAAGAACCTTCTTCGAGGTCCCTTATAACCCAGTTTAAGTGCTACAGGCACACGTTGCATGA